TATTGATGGTGAAAAGTATAATGAGATATTATGAAGTAAAACCCCATGTGTGAGTGTAGATAGTGCACACTAAGTAGGCATCTACGCCCTCAGTATTATATTTGCAGATAATTTGTATATTCATTACGTTCTAATATATAAATATATAGGTATATAAACATTATGTATAGTTATTGTTCTCACCCGGTCGAAGACGGAAGGGTCGCAGTGAGTAATATTGCAATTTAACATCGCAATCTTTCTGTGAAACTTTAAGACTTACATCTCCGAAGCTATTTGGTGTTTAGATAGAGTCCCTAACATAAACTAGTTGTGTCGGTGCTCTCACGAAGTTAGCGAAACTTTTAATAGTGTTTCTCTCCCGTGAGTGCCTACGAGACATTCCGGAGTACATCAGCTGTATGCCGGTTATCTACCAACTTATTAAAGAAATAGTAGCCAAGTGATATAGATAAAATATTTTTTGTAATGTGTATAAAAATAATATAAAATCGAAATATTACTTAAATTAGAATTTACCGTTTACCTTTTAATACTGATTTATACTGTTATAATCTTTTGTCACTTTCTTTGAAATAAAAAAGATAATTCGAAAGAATAGATCGAAACAATTTATGATAGCTAACATAAAATTTTGTTTAATAGATTTTTTTTAGTAGCAGGATTAATTCAAATTGTTTCTTTATATTATACAACTATAACGTTACCCGCCACTCTGTCTGCTTTTTAAAATAATAGACAGCTAATGTCCGTCATCGTGATATAATCTCTTTATGTCAGATGAAGGTCTGTTCAGTTTTTTAGTCGAAATAACGTAACAAAGAAGCAGACAGTCATTTTTGAAATTATAACAGAATTACCATAGATAGTAATAGATTCATTGTTTTATTCCCGTCAAAGGTACACCTACAACTCCTGGTAGTTGGAGACTTAAAAATATATTTTTTAAATCAATGTAAACAAGTTTGGCAATTGTTTGTACATTTTATATATTAATTATATGTGTCTTCATACTTTACAGATTTATCGGATAATATCAATATAATATTGTACAATAAAACGTATACAAAATAACCTATGACATTCTTTACCAGCTAACCTTTAGGCAAAAATAGAAAGCCTTGTAGGGCAGTCATGGCGAAAAAATGTGACAATAATACTATGTTATACGTATAAATAATTAAACAATATTTATGTGCGTATATAATTAAGTTATATAAATATTAAATGTATTTAAGTAATAAAAAAAGAACAAAAAATATACATAAGTTACACAGTATACATTAATATATACATATATTTATTTCTTTATATTTATTATTATTATATGAGATAAATTACAGTATATATATATATATATAAATTCATACAGTCCCAAGCTAAGCAGAGCTTGTGTAATGGGTACCAAACACACAAACGGATATAACATAGATATATATTTTTTGTAAATACTTACATACAATAATATACACAGAAAGCACCCAGAACGATACAAACAATCATACTCATGAATACAAATGTTTGTATCGTGCGAGGAATCGATCCTGCGACCACCGAAAGTAAAACTGTGCGCTAAACCACTAGACCATCGAGGCCATCACCTAATATTGTTGTACTATTTATTATTTTTATGCGTATTTACCTTTGTTTCTTTTATCTCCCATATACAATCCCACACATCTATCCCCGACACATAATAATATATTTTTATTTGCTTAACAGTAAAATATTGCGTTGAACAATCCAATAAGTTAAAACGTTACCAATATTATTTCACCTGCAAAGGTTTCTAGCCCCGAGCTTCGAGCAGGCTCTAGAGATTTGGTATCCTTAAATTCCCGGTGAAAACAAAGAATCCGTGAATACAGGTTCGTGAGAGCGCGGCGAATGAAAATTTACATCCTAATTTCCCACGTGGATTCTACACCGCGTCTTTATTCGTCAGCAATATCAAAAACCGAATATCAAAACCCTTGCAGATCATAGGAGTGATTCTATTTGCTATATCAGAACTAATAAAGAGGAATGATTTGTTGTTAAAATATTTAAGTATTAAGTATTTTATGAGTTTATTCATTATAAACATAAAAAAGCTATTTTTAAGATTCTTTAATTTTTGGAAAGCTTCAGTTTTTAACGAATGAGGACGAAATAACCTATGATATATTTTATTTTTAAAAAAATCAGTTATTCCTATTTTAAGTTCAGATAATAAAGATTTTTTTAATTATGGATATACAATTGGAATAATCTATCCAAATAAAAAAACTGTTGTAATTTAAACTTAACAGCTTTGTACAGCGGTACTTACATCAAAATAAAATTTTAAAAATTTTCTATGTCTGTTTATTATTCCTAATCTCTGAAACGTTAAGACCTATTTTGACGGGGCCTACACTCGCAAATAGATACCTATTTTATAAATAAAAGTAAAATTCTAGGCGGATGAAGGTCATATACTACAAGGTATTCTGATATAAATATGACCTTTAATATCGTAAAAACGCAACATCCTTACGTTCATTATTCTCAGAAAAAAAATATTTCGCACTTCTTTAATTAAAATTTAGTTTAATAATCAAATCATATCAAATTTTATATAAATAATTAATTAATATATTCCTCCATTTCTATTAGTTATCAATCCAATCAATTGGTCTCCTAATTGCACGATTTCCCGTAGGATACTCCTCAAAGTGAAAGTATAATTAAAATCTAACAGCCTACGACCCGGTAATGTTTCAAATTTTATTACAAGCCCATTTCCAACACCTATTACTTGCCTAGGGGTGTGCCCATCCTCTACATAATGCGTTTAAGTAAGTAGTAAGTGCCTACTTACCTACCTGTATCTCTGTTTGGAATCCGAATAAAATAGAACAAATCTAGAATTTAAGTTAACTGGAGATTTATATCTTACAAGTTCTCACATTATCTCTATTTAAATTAAAATAATAAAACACTAAAAATTATTTTCTCTTCTTTTGGCTCCGGCAGTTTGTATTGATAACATTAGATATTAAAATCCGATATTGATTCATTTCATATATTTTTTTAAGAGCCTCTCCATGTCTTTTTTTTTTATTTTTTACACACTGATCATAGCAATATCCATTACATATTGCTATGATCAGTGTGTAAAAATGAAAATGGAGAGGATCTTAACAAAATGTATAAATTTTATATATATTTTTTAGGTTCATACTTTTTATTATTTTTATTTTTTTTATATAAAAAAATTAAGTGGTTTCTAAAAAACACTTAGAATTAAAACAGGTACCTATAAGCAAAATAAACATAAAAGATTAATAATTCTATTAATCATGTTTGTTTTTGTTTTCTTGATTATACCTATTTCCGTAATATCTGGAAAACCAAACCGATCTAAAAAGTAAAATAATATTATAATGAGATTTCCATATCTATCTACATACATATCTATACTGAATTGCGAATATTTTTATCAATCTATAAAAACTACTAAATTGTAAGCTAATAATTTAGCAAAAAATAAACGGCTGCCATATAAGCTTATATGGCATATATTATTCATATATATATATAATTATTTTTATTTTTAATAATATATGACTAATTACTACTTACAGCGATATAAAATACAAAAATGTTGCTAAAGAACTTGCGAGTTTTGTTCTCTTCCTTCAAAAACCTTGAAGAACCTCAGATACGCTCAACAATTTTTTTATTTCGGTCACAGTTTAAAATCCAAAAACATATTTTAAGTAAGTATGATATAATTACAAGTATAACCTTACCTATTATAAATCCCACTAATTGCGAGCAACAGCTAAACTGAAGCACTTCTCTGATTGCCGCTACCGTCTCGTCGGCAGAGGTACTCATGGCGCAGAATTCGTCACCTGTTGAAAATAATTAGGCAAAAAAATCTGTGGTAAAACAAAAATTCAGGTGCTGCACAGCCAGAGCTCAATATTCAAGCCTTTCTGTGTTACCCACTCGACGTGAATACTCGAAATTTCCAAGCGTATTTTGCGGACGCGAATTTCTCACCAAAAACTATTGAACTAGTGCGCTTGAATGACGGATTCGGTGGTGCGAAACAAATTTCCTTGCTGATTGCATTGAAAGTTTCTCCATTAATAGATATTTTCGGCGAGACAGAACGCTCAAAAATATTTGAAATATGTCGTGTGAAACTTAACAACTTAACTCAAGCTACAACAGTATACCTACCTACCATGTAGCTTTCTCTGATCGAGAACGCTGTAACGTGCCTTTGTAATGGCGTGAAAAGTATTAAATTTAAAAATATATTATAATCATTAACCTTTTTAATGTCCGTGCCAGCTGATCTTTTTTGTAAATAGTTACCACCGTTCGTTCGATATTCTTATTATAATAATCATCTCAGGAATTCACAAGAAAAGTATTAAATTTAAAAATATATTATATTCATTAACCATTTTAATGTCTGTCATACCATGATCTTTTTTGTAAATAGTTACCACCGTTCGTTCGATATTCTTATTATTTATGTACTACCTTTTTTAACCCTTTATGAGATTAACATACTTAAATTCATATTAGGTACCATACCTCAAAAACACGCATTGCACCGTGCAATTTCAGAATATTAGGCTGACTGACATGGATCTCTTGTGCCCTCGAAGGGGGGGATGAAGGTTGAGGTATTGGGACGATCCCGCTTTGCCCCTGTATCAACTCCGGGGGTTACAACCCCTAGTAACTGGGATGACAGCCTCTTGCGGCTATCTAACCTATGGACTTTATACGTAAAATATACATATATACATTCATTTATTTTAGTAAAGAGGTAGTACTATACTTGGGGATTGGGGATATCACTGTGCAATTTTAGAATATTAGGCTGTATGAATTTAACGACTATGTCGTTGTTATTGTCAATGTCAAGTAGACTATTGAGAAGTTTGAAAAGGCAGGTCGTAGATTGACGTTTGATTGACAAATACAGACTGGCTGTTTGTCAAATCCCGTCATTTTCTTAGGTAAATGTAAACATATTGATTTGTTGTATTTTTATCATATTTTATTGATTTTCTTAAAAACAACCATTACAAAATGGACCAGGAGACAGCTAAGAAGCTCCTCGTAGAGGGTGGGACATTTGTGTTCCTTGGAGTCCCAGAAGAAACTCAATTTGGTATTGATATGCAATGTTGGAACACAGAAGAGGATTTTAGAGGCATAAAAATGATTCCACCTGGTTTACATTATGTCCACTACTCTGCTATTAGTAAAGGATCAGGCGATATATCACCAAGGCAAGTATCTTGTTACATACTTAATGATTTCATTCATGACTTTACATTCAATGATTATCACAGATATACATCATATGTATAAAATCTATTAGATTCCTTCATTGGACTGTTCATAATAATTTATAGGCTTTCTATATATAACTATATAAAAATAACATCAACTTTTGTTGGCTATGTAATAAATTTTCTATGCCTTGCATACATGTAGGTACCTACTTAAAAGCTATTAAGTATTTTGTCATTATGTTTATAATAACACTGTACTATACTGTATATATACTATCTTTAGAAAAAAGAATGAAAAATAATATAATCTATGCTGTGTGCAGCCCAAAAAAAACAAATATATACATTCATATGTTTCAAGCTGCAAAATCAATATAAATACTAATTTTAATGTAGGATTACATGACAGTAATTATTTCTTTTTTCCTTCTAATTATCTCTTTTGATGCATCTAAGAATAAAACTTAATAACTTCTAGATTTTACTATTCTTATATTTATGAAGGTTTAGGTTTGTGAACCAAACTCTGAAAAGAATAAGCATAAAAATATAGTATTTACAGTTTGTAAAATAAGTCTCATACATATATAAATAGTATATATTGATACATGTCTCATACATATATAAATGGTATATATTGATACATGTCTCATACATATATAAATGGTATATATTAGCAAAGTGAATATATATACGTACAACAGCCTAGATGAGTAAACAAAGCTAATATCAAGTAATATATCTTACTAATATTATAAACATTGATGTTTGTGAGTGTGAATTTGTGGAATTATACTATCATGCAAAAACTATTGAATGAATTTTAATAAAACTTCACAATAAAATATAGCTTATACATCAAAATAACACTAAGTAATGAGGGTGAAACCATGGGCACAGCTAATAATATATTTGAATTATTAAAATTTGTAATAATTTTGCTATAGTTTTTGATATTAATATATATATTATATTTTAAACTTATGATATTTTATGCCCAAATATTACTCATATTCTTCTCTTACTAGGCACTAAGATTTGCATATTTGTACAAAGAAACAATAAATAAATTATATTCTAATCAGGAAAAATAATAATAACAAATTAGATGTATACTACATTTAGAAAAAACTAGTTTTTTGTAGTTAATATTATAATAAAAAATAAAATAATAAGTACATAAATGCACTATGTATTATAAATAATTACATCAACAGGTCAGGGTTCATGCACTACTTTCATAAGAAGGAGTTTCTCGTAAAAATGTGGGACAAAAAATCAGAGGACATAAGCCACGATGAGATAAGTGAAGAAAGCATTGAGCGTCTGAAGGATAACTTGTTGAACTTAGATCGACATCTGGCTCCATATCCATATGAAATATGGCAGAAATGGAAATTGTTGACCTCCCAAGTTACAGGTTAGTTAATTATTATAGACTTGTTTTTTTTTATTACTAAATTAGCATCTTATACACATATGACACTGTCAAATAAACTGTATATCTAAGACATACATCTATATTATTATTACACAAATATATTTGATGTTTGTGCAATATAATTATTAATTTAATTAACAACTTTAGTACCAATATTTTGTTTTAATGCTTTTCAGCTGAACTAGCGGCTAAATTGTCTCCTGACAGTGGCATCATCAGAGCTTCAGTAGAACTAATGTCAACAACTGATGAAGACAGACCCAGAGGCGTAAAAGTCGCCAATAAATCCCTGGAAAGTCAAGACAGCACCAGTGAAGAGTCACAAAAAGAACAGGTCTCAATAGAAGATGATTCCACTCCTGGACAATCTGATGCTAAAAGAGCTAAAAGAATTACAAGAGAAGAGAAAGAGGATTCAATGTTGCCAGATTTAAAGCCTGCTCCAGGTGGCTAAATGATTCACTTTTATTGTAATTTCAAAGTAATAGGAAATGAAGGCTGACTCTAAGAATACCTTTAGAGATAACTTCATTCATTACTTAAGATCCTTGCACTTTGATCATTCAAGAAGTTATTTATTTAGGATACAAACAGTTTTATAGATAAAGAAACATTTTAGCATAGAAGTAACTACATATCTATACTTAGGTTGTCATTCTGTTGTTATTTATTTATTTACCAAATTCTAAGTAATACGTCTAATTTTTTTTCTTTTTGTATTCTTAAATTTAAAGTAAGACAAATCAAATATATCTTTGTCCAATTGTTTCATTTAAAAATTAAAATTATTTTTTACTGTACAAAAAACATTACAAACTAAAATTCTAGATATTATCCAGTTACAGAATAAGCAGAGAAAACCTTTTTGTCTAATAAATTCAAATATCCTGAATATGAAACATATCCATTAAGTGAATACTAAAAATTCTAAAAAGATACTCCTATATATGCATTGAACAGCAATCATGTGTAAGTAATCATTTAAATTTTGCAGGCACTTCAATCAGATTTACAGAGATTCCACGCGATAAGTACCCACCAGGATCAACACCAGAAGAGATCACGAAGCATTACTTGGACCAATCATACACACTTGAGTTGATGATTGCACAGCATGATGAGTAAGATTATTTTATATACTGTTATTATATCTTTTTTCATTAAATGAGATCATTATAATGTACAAAACCTTTCCTCAAAATAATTTATGCGGTATATATGCTAAATAACAGTGATATTATTTAGCATATATACTACTATATTTGATACCCATAGAATTTCTTTAGATAGGGGAGAGGTCATCCAAATAATTTCTATGGGTATCAAGCTTTTTCTGAATAAAAATAGGGATTTTTATTCAGAAAAATCTTCATATTAAAGATAATAAGAAAAAGGTTCTTCCTGTGCTCATGAGGTCTCGAATCAGGGACCCACTGCATTTTGCTTTTCTGATAATGATATTTATTTTGCACATCATTGTAAATTATCTTTTGTATTTACTGCACTCATTTCCTGCCCTTTGACTCATTTTATCGAAAGTATCTTGATGTTATTTCACTGCTCCTATGAGGTTAAATAGTTATAGTTATCTTGCAACTAACTAATTATTATTTCACGCTTGTGTCTTGCCAGACACAATTGTGTAATAATAGTTACACACGCACACCGCCTTACTTTATATGGTCACGGGTTCGATTCCTCGAACTGTACAAAAATTTGTATTCATGTATGATTGTATTGATCTGGGTGCTTCCTGTGTATATATTTACAAAAAATATCAAGTATTTATATCAGTTGCCTAGTACCCATAACAAAAGTTTTGCTTAGCTTGGGATTAGGTGGCGTTGTGTGAATTATCTTAAGTTTTTATTATTATTGTAAAAAACCTGATTCTTTAGTCAAGAAATAACCTTCCTTTGTAACGTTAATTGAAAGTACATTTATTTCAGACCGCTACACATCATAGGCGAATTGCAATTTGCATACTTATGCTTCCTCATTGGACATTCCCTCGAAGCGTTCGAGCATTGGAAAAATTTGGTTATAATTATCTGCTCTTGCGATGACGCGATACACAAATACAGAAGTGTTTTCTTCCATTTCATCAGAACAATAGAAGTTCAAATTGAAGAAATGCCAGAAGATTTCTTGGCTGATATAGTCATGAATAAAAATCTAGTTTATAAGAAACTGCGCGAATTTTTCCGTACAGCGTATGTTAGCAAAGTAGATGGCCGTTTGTTGACAATGATTGAAAGGTTTAAAGACAATTTGACAGAAAAACTACAATGGGACTTCACAGGATTGGATGCAGATGAGGAAGATGAGAGACCCGTTGTAGTGAAGCTTGGTGATGAAGGAGAATAAATTATATTATAATTAGAATTTATTTGGAATCTATCTCTATGTATCCTGATTCGCAAAAGAATCAATTCTGTGTAGTGTGTACTGTGTACATTTCAGATATTTTTGATGTTTTTAAGACTATTTCAATGTGTTAAAGCCTGATTTTTATAATTAAAAATGTCGTATAATATCTTTTTTGTCAGTAGATAAAATATAATTATTATAACAAAATATCTGTCGATATATGTCTGTATAACAATTTACAGACCTTTTTAAATTACTATTGTCTTACACGCGATTGAAAACTTAACTAAAAAAAGGTCATTAACACAATTTGTTAATGACCTTTTTATAGTTAATTTTTTGATGAAAATTTTATTCTGGACAACCAAATGTAATTCATCCACATATAGATTATTCATATATACATATAGCCTTATATTAGTCTTTTAAGATTTCTTAAACGAAAAAAAAGACATGAGTGATAATGATGGCAATTATAGGGTATTTTCATTAATCAATATGACCAAGACTTTATCACCCCGAGTCGGGTTTGAATACTTCAACATCCATATATGTATGTGAATCCCGCCACATATCAGTGTTCCTTTATAATATTTAGTAGAATAATTACCAAATAAAAGATTTTTCTCATATATTTTTTTTAAATTTATCAATGTTTCTACATATATGGGTATAACTTTTGAATTCAATAAAATGTACCTGTGTTTACAACATTGTTTTATTAATCACTTAGCAGTTACAACTACCATTAGTTTTTCCTTTTGAATTGTTTTTTAGTTATCTTTTGATTCTTTTGTTTCTCAAACTTAGATTTCTTTCCTACTGGAGCTGCTTTTGGTTCACCTGTGAAGAAAATAGTATAGTTTAGTAATTTAAAAAATGCTTTAGCATAAAATCTTATCCAAACTTTGATTAAGGACTAAAATACGTTTTTCATTTTATCATATAGAATCAGCTTTACAAAAGAGGATGCATAGAGTAAATGCTGCTATTATATGTATATTATATATTAAAGTTTACAAATTTGTTTTATTAAAAATATATTATTGAGAATATAAAACTATATATCTTACTTTCAACAACCTTCCTTTTTTCTGGATTTGATTTTTTTTGTTTTATGACTTCCTTTACCTGATTTTTCACAGTCCTTGAATTTCTTACCAGTGGCCCTTTTAGAGTTTTACTTTTAATACGCACAACTTCATTAGACCTGTAAGAAATACGAAACTACATGTTATCGTATACTAAGAATGGGCGCAAGTAAAAATGAAGGGACCAGATCAATCTTAACCAAGGGTGTTCATTATTAACAAGTTGTGGTATTGTGTGTTACTAATGGGGATGAGGTTAACTAATTATCATAATTATTTTCTGCTAAATTGCAATAACCAAATCTGTTATACTAGTTTCATCCTAATACAGTGGACCCGCGGTAATCCGGCCGCCCTTGTAATCCGACATGGTCTATTATTTATTATGGAATATTTTTTTGACATTCTTCGCTAATACATGACGCGACGCGTAGGGTATTGTTTTGATTATGATTGTTTAATTTGAATTTGACTACTTACATGTGATGAAGATATCAGTGCATTATAGCATGTGTTCATTGTTTACTTATTCACACCTATCAGCTCAGAAGCGAAAGCATAAAACACTGACAATTAAAGAAAAATGTGATATTTTAGACCGCCTAAATCATACTAAATCTTTTAGTAATTGACATACATAATGAAGTATGATTTATATTTCAAAGTGCATACATTACAGTACATACATACATATATAAAATAGAATCTTATCACTGGATCTGTAATTTGTCGGATTACAAGATACTCTTTTGTAAAAAATTCTGGACTATAGGGTACCCTTAGACAGCACTCTATAATCTGACAAATTCGATGGTGCGGCACTACCCTGCAAAATGTTTGTCGGATAACCGGGGGTCCACTGTAGTTGCTCTCAGTTTGGATCATAATTTTACAATATTTTCATATTTGTCTATTAAAGATCAGTGACTTTGTTGTTTAAAAAATTAATAGAAATTCTTCTATAAAACATTTAAAGATGTTTTAATGTTAAATTGCAAATAGAAAAATATATATTATTCACTCACTGTTCTGTATCACTATCACTCTTATCAACCTCATTAGAGCTTTCTTCATCATCCTCTTCATTGGAAGATAAATCAGAATTGAATTCATCTTCATTTTCCATTACTTTTTCATATTCATCAGAATCAAATTGGTATGAGCTATCCGATTCAGTTGATTCTTCAACTTTCATGAAATCTTTTGTAGGTTGTACATTAGCTTTTTTTAATTTGTCTTTTTTATTGTTCTGTTGCTTTTTATCACCTATAATCTCCGAACCTTTCTTCTCTTTTATTTTTAAAACCTTTACTGGTTTTTCTTCCACCTTTACTGTAAGGTTATCTCCTTTTCTTTTATTTTTGTTGTCTTTATTTTCCTTTTCCACTTTTACATTCTTTTTATTTTTTTTGTTATCCTCTTCTTTTTTAATTTCTACATCTTCATCTTGTTTTGCTTCTAGTATAGGCAATAACACTTCCGGTACATCTACTGGTTTGAAGAAATCATAGTTAATGCCTAATTCACTTAACTTTTTCTTTGTTCTTGTTAGACTGCAAAAAGTGTTACAAAATATTATATTTACCATTAACTAAAAGGGTAATAATAAAATAATAATTAATAATGACTCACTTGGACAATATCTTTGTTGCTCTTTTAAGCTCTCCATCTTCATCTTTATTTTCATTGTAAGCCTGAAATAATATACAAAGTTAATTTCATGTTACGTCTATACAAGCCTTAATCTTATATAAAAATAAAACAAGAATACCTTTTTATTTTTCAATCTTGCATCAAATCCTGGATTGTTAATAGTATTCCAGTTTTTCCTTAGTGCTTTTCTTTGTTTCTCGGGAGGTATAACAACGGCTATAATATAATAATTTTGAATAAACACATGTAAAATAAAAACACCTTTTAATAAAATTAGATAAAAAAATTGTGTTAGTGTACTAATTACAGGATTTGTTGATATATATCAGTTGATTTTTATCTTGATAAATATCCATTGATTTTTTCCTGTCTTCTAAACTAAAAATTTTGTAAATTAATGTTTACCCTGGCAACATGTAGCAAAAAACTACAATTCAATGCTCAACAGGAAATATATAAAGTTCACGTCATTCTGATCTAACTCAATATTTTCATTTACAAAATAGACAACATTGGACTCTGACACATCAACATTTTAATCTCAAACATCTGACAATGGTATACTTCATATCAATTATTTCCAGATCCACAGAATAAAAATGTAACTGATCACTAGAATACATGAAACAGATTTGAGAAATGAGTCAAGCAATTATTGGGGGTTGTTATCAATGTAATAGAACCTAAACAATTGTTATTATAGAATTTTTACCTTTTCTGTGTGAATGTACATGTGAATATCAGTAATGCATAGCAGTAAGTTTTACATAAACTTTTGTTTATTTCTTTTTAATTAGTTTACTAAAAGGTTACTCGAGTACAAAGTTGCAGGATCTGCTTATAGTTGATAAATCACAATTACCTTTGATCAATCTTTTCCCCATCAAATAGTTATTCATAGTATCCGCTACTATTTCAGCTACAGATTGATCCTTGAATTCCACAAATCCATATCCTTTGGAATTGCCTGTACGTTTGGATCTGATCACCCTCACATTTGTGACTTGTCCAAATTGTTTGAAATATTCCGTCATTTCGTGCTAAAAAATGTATATACTATTATTAGTACAAGCATAGTAGTATGCAGACAAATATTATTAAAAAAAACAGAAAAAAATATTTTAATAACATTAAGATTAATTTATATGGTACAAAATATGTTAATATTATAAAGAAAGTTAAATGAATCTTAAAATATAAACTGAACAGTCTCTTTACGAATTAAATACATAAATGTTTGGGCTAACCTCGTAAAATCCATGAGGGATATGACCCAGGTAAACTAAACCCTTATTTGATACCTTCTTTTTCTTAATCTTATCAAATCGGGGTTTCTTACTTTTAATTGCCACATCTGGTTGCTTCTTATCTTTCTAAAACATAAATGAACACGTAAATAAACATTTAAAAACATCATTGCAGTCAGTGCATAACCTTATTGTGTTGCAAGTTACCTTTATTAATTTCTTTATTCCTTTAATGGATTTAACAAACTGTTTTTGTTTACTTGTATCTAGTGCTACATTTTCTTCCATTATTACTTAATGTATGCCAGCAAAACGTGTAAAGAAAATATTTTTTTATTAAGATTATAAACATGCAAAAACGTGAGTATAATAAAAATATGACATTGAAATTGAATCACAAAATTTTGTTTTTGAAATCTGCTCTGTGACAGTCAGAAAGAAGGTAATCACTACGCTCATTTCGTAAAGCAACTTTTAACAAGATGGGTGTTCAACAAATGAGCTTGATTATGATGAGATTTATAGAGACTTACTTTATTTTATTTATATAGTAATGGCTAATTATTCTTAAATAAATAATTGTGATTATAAATATACAAAAATAATTATATTTTTTTGTAGTGACACTAAGTACTATTGTTTTTGTGATTGTCACTCAAACTGCCATGCCAAATTTCATGTTGTCATTTTTGTCATAACAATTTACTATAAATTTGTCATGAAAATTTAAATATTAATATATAAATTCGAATGGCTATTCAGTAATGAATGGCAAAATAAACAAATCACAGTTAATTTTACGTTTCTTTGCTGTGTAATAAAACACGGTTTTCACATCTATATCTCACGCGGCGAACTCTGATATCTCACAAATATAGCTATGGCCACTGGATCCCTGCTGCACTACATCCAGTTCGTGGAAAGGGTGTACAGGACTGGCCAAGGCGCTGTTCTGTCGCGGATGTTATCACTGAGGGATGAACATATCGGTAACAGAAACCTTAGATCTGGCGATATCTCTAAGTATGTACATGACAACTGTGTGGCTCCTTTGGATGAAATAATCGTTGCTCATTTATTATGTGTGAAGGTAAATATATTATTTATTTCAAAGGTAACCAACAAACCATACACTTTTAACAACAGAAAACTTGTTAAAAATTACAAGATCTGAGTACAAAACTTCTTATGCGGCCCCCTGACATATACTTAGGAATTAATAACTGAAGTGTTGTTTATCCAAACCAAGCCAATAGATGCGTTCTTTATAGGACATAATTAAATGAATAAAATGTTATAATAGATAAAGTGATACATGTTCTAAATTGAATATATGGCCCTCTGCAAAATCACCACATACTAGACTTGTTTACAGGCACTATTTATGCATGAGTATATGGAGGCATATAATTACCAGAGTAACTGTGTGACGGCTGTTGTAAAACTTCTGCAGTCACAAAAGGAAGAGAACTGGAGTCTACCACTCATGTACACTGTATGTTTAGATCTGAGGCTTGTTGCAAGGAAGGCAGATGGATCTAATTGTAAGTTATTATCTGTTATACCAGATCACTTTTGCTGTTTTGAAAATTATATTCAAATATATTTATGTGTACTAGATAACTGATATTAATACTTAAATAGAGATTTTTTGTAAATACATACATAATATCCAGACCAATAGAACCATATTCATGATTACAATGGTTTGCATAGTGTGAGAGAATGATGAATGATATGATCATCAGATGTAAGGTGGTATCCTAAACGATTTAGGCCACTAGGGTATATATACTACAGTGATTTGGTTTATGGTAGAAGTAAAATTATAAAGTTTATGGCTCACCTGATGGTAACTTCTTCTGGTTCAATATCCTAGGTGATGTTTGTAACAGTTACCATTATCAGCACTACCTAAGATATAGAAAAGGACTGCACCCGAGATATCCCTTCTTTTTTTTCTCTTTATTTTGATTAAAAAACTTATTATATAAATATATAATTGTACAGATTAATATGTTTTTACAATTGATGTTAGTGCTGATTTTTTTTATGTGATTAAATACAATGCGCCAAGTGGAGTAAAAACTAACTGCAAGTTTGAATGGAATGCAATAATACTAATCACAGTAAAAAAGTATAAGTATGATACTAACATTGTAATGTTAACAATTAAAAAAAAGGATTACTTTAGCATTTTCTATAGTTTTTTTTGTATAATATCAAGGTGCAAAAAATGAGATAAAAATTTAAAAACTTTATATTTTATATAGCAATTACATACCTAATTGTATAATTCATGATGTTACTTATATGTTGCTATTCTATTATTGTAATATGTCTGTATTTAAAAATATTTATTTTGAGTTTACCTTCAGTGAACTGACATTTTGTGTGAATCAAGCAAACAATACAGTTTTATCAGTTTGAGTGGAAATATGAAGATGTTATTTGTTCCAGCACAAAGCAGTCACGGTAAAATCATGGAGAAAGCAGCCGAAAGTCTACTTGCGTGCTTCAGAGTATGCACAGCTGACAACCGATCGTCAGACTTTGAAACCAAAAAGCTTGGAATGTTGAACCTTGTGAACCAGCTATTTAAAATATATTTTCGTATTAACAAATTACATTTGTGCAAACCGTTGATCAGGGCGATAGATTCTTCGCCATTCAAAGACCAATTTCCTTTAGCTCAACAGATAACTTATAGATATTTTGTCGGTCGTAAAGCAATGTTCGATTCAGACTACCGGTTCGCAGATGAATACCTATCCTTCGCATTCCAAAATTGTCATAGAAGGAGTACTAAAAACAAAAGACTGATCTTAACATATCTAGTACCCGTGAAAATGTTGCTAGGCTTCACACCTTCAAAGTATGTACTGCAGAAATATGATTTGATGCTGTTTTGGGACTTAGTAATCGCTGTCAAATATGGAGATTTGAGGGGTATCGATACAATAATGGAAGAACACGAAAGTTTTCTCATACAAGCGGGAATCTATTTGATGGTTGAGAAACTAAAAATCACAGCATACAGAAACTTATTTAGGAAGGTTTATTTAGCTGAAAACAATCATCAGATAGACATAGCATGTTTTCAAGCTGCTCTTCAAATAATGGGACAAGATGACGCGGACGCAGATGAGACTCAGTGTATCGTCGCCAATTTGATTTATGACGGCAAAATAAAAGGTTACATCTCATATCAACATAAAAAGGTGGTTGTTAGTAAACAGAATCCGTTTCCACCTCTTTCAAGCTTTTATTAAGTAGGTACTTATTCTTATTCAATAACTGTTTTTTACTGATTATTATATTATAAGAATAAATGTCTGTACAAATTACTGAGTTATAACTTCTTAATAATCTTCTATCATTCGATATTAATGTCCACTTTAAAACTATAGTACATTACTTTATTGTCAAAAATTTCCGCTGCGTTCGCCATAAAATTATCTATTTTGTTTTTTCACACGTTTCACATTATCAAAGTTTTCATACGTGTATAGCCTTTGGGATAAAGTAGGATTCTAATGGTAAATTATTTTTATAAAATGGTTCAATAGTTTCGAAATATGTAGGTACCTATATTCTATCAAATGTTTTCTTCTAATATTAGTACAAATTGAAAAAATCATAGGTATATTCAAAATATTCACAAAATTTATTATTCCCACCTTTGTGGCGTATTTATGTCAGCTTTAGACGTATTTAACAGCATATTTTGAGACAATACTATTCCTCCAGTTGTTTTTACACGAGACTAGATTTTTACCTTGTCGCGATTTTTCAATTTTGTTATATGCAAAGATGTAGTTGTTGAAGCACAATGAAACACCAATGACATGAAAACTTTTTTATTAAATCCACAATATATTTCAAAGAATAATATAAATATAATAAATTTTGCCCTTCACTAACATACTCGTAGCATTATTTCCAACAATGCCGAAAAAGTACAATGTTTTCTCGATTCTTACAATTAAAACATTTGTGATTCTAATAGAATGACATGGATCTAATCTATTTATACAGTTATGTCCTTATAAAATATATAGGTGTCTAACTTTGGTATTTAGTATAATGGAACTATCAATAAATTCTGTCACACGGTTGTCAAACATTCACGTTTTTTAGCTCCTCCACCCCTGTCACAGCTGTCACATTTGTGAGGGTCCTGTCCTTAGTGTCGTCACAGTTTACACTAGAATGTAAGTAAAGTCACATTCAAACTTAGCTTTTATATATTCAAGCTTTTCATTAGTAATTCAAATTCTGTTTTAATATTTCAATATATTAGATTTTGGAATGTAACATCACAAAATTTAGCACCCTATCTCCCTTTATCAGACTTTTTCGACCTCCCCTACTACGTATGACATGTTTATTGATAGCCCTTAAGTCAAAATAGGTAAGTGAAGTGAAATGCAATTTTGTGCTGTGAATTTGTGATATAAACTACAGTAAATTTCTTTTCTAGCTAAATATATGTTATCTTTTCAAGATGACAATTTCTAGATCTCTTAAAATACTTGATTATGTATTAATATTATATTATTATAAATGTTTTAATTCTTTATGGGATATGTTAATTTAACGAAAATATATGATATGGCTATGCAATTTCTCTTTCTGATAAGTCTTTGTTCCATCCGATTACTGTTTATTTCTAATATATAATAAAAATATATTCTTTTTATGGAAGACATTTGCAAATGAAATATATATATGTTTATATCGAGTACCTACAATTTATATATGGTAAACATAGCTGCCAACTTTAAATCATTTACAATAAGAGGCGCCAGTAATAAACATTCCACTCTAATCGATATTAGGTGCATCATTAATGTCGTACTATCTTTTAAATTTGTAGATTTACAAATACAGCTCAACCATGATAAGTTCTTATGGTAAAGTATTTAATTACTAATATACCTATATAGTGTAGAATTTTATAACTATATGTCATTGGATACGAATAAGCCTCTACTTATTTGTGTAAATATATAACCAATATGTGTACTTTTTTTAGTGTGTAATATTATCTTATCCGTAGTATAAGCATTTGTTTGGGTGCCTAAATATTGATCTAAATTAAGCCACGCACTAACATCAAGGGAATATCGGAGCGGTAATAGGAAGTATCCTGAACCGCTTCCTAGATTTCGTCATTTGTAGGATATCGAAATAAGAACAGATTTCACTTGGTTATGATTTTATCCCAACACGATTGCCTCAGTATTGCCCCAATTTAGTATCTACTTCATTAAGTGATAGATTATGAGGCCTCGTATTGTAATTGATACAGATAATAAATATTACAGATTCAATATTAACAGCACATAATTGCACTACACTAGTTTTATATGGTAGAAAAATATTGGGAAATATTTGACTAGCTATTAATTTATAATTATACTCAATATGTCCTATGCTAATTACTTATTGATTAATATAATCTAAGTTTGGAAAAAAAATTTAAACATTATTACAGTATTACCACGCATATAACTTTTTTGGGATGATTGAGAATGCATGTATTTTTTTATATGACTGGAATGGCAAAAGAGCTGACGGAAAGTGGCTATCGTCGCTTATTATGCATGAAAAGCAGTGCTATAATCATATCATTAAGTGACGCCCATGATACCATGCATGCATTGCCATTCCGGAGAACTAAAACAAGTCTCCTTAAACTATAACTAAACTTACACAAAGAAAAGTGCTTGGCAATTGAAACAGGAGTGACAAGCATCTACGCAGACAACGTTTCAAAGTCAACCTCAGAATTTGAATAGAAGTAAGTAATAATTATACTATTGTACTTAATATAGTTATATTCGTGGTATTACTATAATATATAACATACAAAGCAATTTTCCACGATATAATTTTAAATATTTACCGCTCCTATATTAGCTGCATTTTGCAATAAGTCTTTCAGGGCGCACACAATGTTAATTTTTGTTTATGAAGCTATATACAAAATTATAAAACGTGCTAATCAATATTAATAATAGCTAAATCTACTCATCAGGTACCTACTACATCTTTGGGTACCGCATTTGAAAATATTTCATCATTAATAAAACCAATAGGTATCAACATTTAGAAGTATGATATTGTATGTACCTACTTCCATTTTCTTCTGTTTAGTAATAGCTATTTATTTATATGTTTGATGAAATGTATTCAAATTTTCAATATATAGGAAGCAGATAATAAATAAACGGAATTTAGAGATAGACAAACGTATATGTATTAAAAAACGATTTTAACATTTTTTTAATACATATAGGTACGTACATATAATTTATAAAATAAAATAGCATGTTCCTAAAAATCCAAATAATAAACTAACTGACTAATCACTAACTGGCGGTTTCAATTTCTAAGAATACTAATATTAAATAAGGGAGCACTTTTGCAATTTTAAATTAAATTGAAATACACATATTAGAAACTGCTCAAAACCAAAATTATTATACCTATAGATAATAAAGCAACAAATTTAGAGAAATTACACTCCATATAGATTTGGTATAGGTGTCCTATATGTTTTGTTCCACAGGAAAAGCTAGTTTATGTTAAATATTCACAAATTTTAGCATGAAAGCTACAATAGTCACTACTTTCGATTACAAAAAGAATCGTCAGAATTAGTTACAATTAGCATAGATAAATCCAATAACGTATCCACGCAAAAATCAAAGAAATTAATATAATAAATGATGAAATGTTGAATAAATGTCTTTATTATTATTATTATTATAAATTAAGAACTTCCTCCGTTTAGAAGTCGGTTCTTTATTTAAATAATAAAAGCCTAAACAATAATCCCCACCATTATTTAATTCATATACTTACGTTATTTTTGTTTGCACTATTTACCATAAAAAAAGTGCACATGTCCTCTAAACTGTTGAAATGCAAGACATATAGCGTTTTAATTATATAGAAGGTATACCTGTATTTATAGTAGGTACTTTCTTATGGAAAATGGTGCAAAACAATCATCACTTTCTTCCGAGCTTTAATTTAAATTTGATGAAAAGAAACAATTCATTTACTATTTATATCATATTACTTTAAGCAAATTTTATATTTTTTTCTTAGAATTTTTAAATAAAAATATAAATACAAGGTGGCTCTATAAAACAATGTTACTTATGTAGTATAAAAATATGCTTAATGTAAAGAAATGATTTCTCTTTAATGCTGCCATTAGGTGTTCCTCATAAATAATCGCAACAAAAACACAAATAAACTATCAATAAATATATAGGATTACAAAAGCAGTGTTACAACACAACGGGTAAACGTAAGTTTACTAAAACGTGTCCCGTGATTTTTTCCTGGTTATACGTATAACTAATGACCGCGTCAAATTTAAAACAGTATATAGCTATAAAAATCGACTTCTTCCTAGATCTTCACTTCTTATGAAGAATATCTTGTCGCATGACTATTTACTACAAGCGATTATACGATAAATCGAATTATAATTATTTCCTTCTCCATATCAATGCTGTAAATGCAAATTCAATAATGGTTAGTTAAGGCGAGGATATCTTCTAATATAATAAAGATATTTATAATATTAGAATATCATAGTAAAGTAGTACTATTTTTTTTTTACTTTTCTACTATGTTCTTAATTTGATTGCATATTAAGTACATAAATCCTCTACCTACTTATTTATTACTTCGCAATGCTGAAAAGCTTTTAAATTAGGTACAATACCGATCTCTCTGTTATTACATTTGCAATCAAATTCCAACACCAAAGTTATTTTTTATAGACTCTACTACCATATCTATCTACCTACACTGATCATAGCGCGATACTCATTTTTCACCGGTGGAACAAACCACATAGTCGGTAGACCACATTGTTCGGTTGCAGCTTAATTCCTCTCGGAGAATGTCATTTTGTGCATTGGACCTTTCAGCAGTTCGTCCTTGTATGCAGCCAGGATAGCACGCGACATGCTCGGTTCTGATGCACTGGCTTCGAGGAACTGGCGCATTAATCTGAAATGAAAAATATCAATAGGTATTAACTACTAGAAATTACTAGAATACTCATTACTAGAAAATTAATATAAATACTTAACTACATTTTTTTGTAATTTCTAACATAATGTACATAGAAAATACCCAGATCTATACAAATAATGATATTCATGAATACAAATATTTTCATCGTGCGAGGAATCGATCTCGCAACCAAAATAAAGCGATGTGGTAATCGGCTAGATCACCAAGACAACTAGGTACATATATTCAATAATAACTAAAGAAATAATCTGTATTCAAATTAACTTAATATATAAGTACTACTGAATAGTCATATTTTTTTATTCTACCACTCATTCGGAAAGAAAACTAATAACAAGAAACAACAAAAAACTTCCGTGTTGCTCTTTTGTATAAATATTGTTCAAAATTACATTTTTTATAAATTTGTGTGAATACATACTGCGACATAGCAAAGTTCATAGTTACCTGTTAGCAGGATTCACACCAAGACCTTCACGCGCTTGTAGCAATTCGGGGTGATCGCCAATCGTGTCTGTTAGAGCGGCAATCATGACGTCTGAAACAATAGCAATATTTTATAAATTTTATATTAACAGAAAAATGCTATTGGACACAGTGTGTAAGCGCCCTAAGTATTGTTTATGCCCTAAGTTACGTTTGTTTTGCGACTCTGATGAGATTATTGTTCATATCTACTCTTCTAATTAAATTGCTTGATTGAAAACCGGTTTAGTATCAAATCAAAAACATTTATTCATGTAGAACATTTTAGCCGCTTATAAACATTTTTTTTTTATTTATTTATTTTCCCTACCGTCTAGTTCAGTCACCGGAGAGACATTTAAATTTACACACAAAGTTCTCAATGTCATACCAGATTCGATCTGCTGAGTAGTAAACTACTGTAGACAACGAAAACAAGCCCAGTGTAAATAAAAAAACAATTTAAACTATGCGGTGACATTTGACAATCAATTTACGACTTTAATCATTCGGTGTCCAGACCCTTGGTCCGTGGGGTCCTAGCGCTATAAGACTTTTCAAAGAAATAACGTAAAGATTTTCGACATCACAGAAGATCGAAGAGCTGGCAGCTACCTCGGACAAAGAAACTATAGTATAGCTATTCAAAGGGGAACGCTGCCAGTATCTTCGGAACTTTGCCTAAAAGGACGCCTTTTAATAATATATTTTAGGTATTATATTATATTTTTTAAGCTATTTACTACTTATTTAAAGTTCAAAATGTTATTTTCCGACGTCCACATTTTTTTAATGAAATCATTTTAATTTCACAAGTATTTTATCTGTAGAATTTTTTTTATTTTACTAATTAAACCTATATATTCATTGTTAGTAAGCTAAGTTTAATATGCTTAAGTAATTTACATACGTTAGTCGCTTAATAACTTATTACCTACATTATGAGACAGCATGTTTTACAGATTAAAATCTTTATTCGAAAATTAATCTGAATAGTACCACTAATAGAATATTATCTAGCCATTCCAAAGCCTTAAATACATTTAATAACACACGTACATATACAAACACATGTTTTGTTTCAACAAAATTATTCACTACTCTATCTAGGAGTAGGTACAAAGTTTTGAGGGATTAATACTGATTCTAGAACCTGACATGAATATTCATGAACAGATTACCGGGAAGCTCGCATAGTAAAGTCAAACACACAATTACTGTTAACGTACATGTAATCTTTACTCCTGAATTAGATTTATATCTTTGAGCCATAAAAATAGCTTTCTGCCAATTTTGACTTCTTTTGTTGTTAATATAAATACTTATAATAGTAATCTTGACACAATTCACAGCGTCATCTAGTTCCATAGTAAGCAGACGTATTATGGTTACTAGACAAATAATTAAATACGTCTTTTTTTGTAAATATGTCCATAATGTACATCGAGCACCCAGGCTTACACAATCATACTCATTAATACAAATGTTTGTGCCGTGCGAGGAATCGAACCGCGACCATGAAGTAGGGCGCTGTGCTAAACCACTTGACCACCGAGCCTTTTCAATATATTTTCGCTGAAGCCATGGGAACGCTTACGCATTCGCCTAAGACGATCAAAGTACAAAATAGTTATATATAGTGATACTCACCAAGTACTTTCTTCTCAATAGTGCGCGATAGTTGACCCCTTTCAGCCTCCAGTTCCAGGAAGGCCATGAAACGTTGTGTAGCCGCCCGAGCGGAGGCCGGGTCCCGGGATAATGATTGTGAGAACATCATCTGCGACCATTTATCATGTCATACAACTTATTGTAAAACAAGAAACGTTACTTGACAAGGGACTGTGGGGTTACATCTAAAATTAGAGAATGACGTTTCAGAATTGACCCCAATCCTTATACTTCGGTATTAAAATAGGAAATAATTAGTTTTAGCCACATTGTAATGATTTAGATATCAAAATAACTAATGTAGAGCTTAAATGTATAGTTAAGTTTGTAATTATAAAACAATTGCATTTTTTAATTACAACCTTACCTATCTAATTTGAAGTCATGTCGTTTTTATTCTTACGTTATCCCGAAGTTAATAAATGCACAGGTATTGCATTGCATAGTTATACAGTAATACCACAGACAACTGTATATAAATAAATAAATAATGTAATATAAAATAATTGTAGCTTTAAAAGTTAGCGTTAGCGTTTTTGAAAGTTGCAATTAATTTTTCTTTAACTAATATTACATCCCAGATTTAAATAGTCAAATTATATAGATTCTGTAAATAGATACAATTTTTATAGTATAATGTACTATAAAAATTGTATCTAATCTGGGATGTAATATTAGTTAAAGAAAAATTAATTGCAACTTTCAAAAACGAACACTAAATCCTTCTCTCTGCGTATACAATTGTATGGTCACATCTATCTATATTATAAAACAAAGTCCCACGTTGCGTTCATTCGCGATAATCTTAAAAACTAATGGACGGATTTTCATACATTAACAGGAGTCATTTATAAGGAATGTTTAAGTATATAATTTATTAAGGTTTTGTATAAATTAAATACTTGTGCGAAGTCCAGGTTAAAGGTTTTTTTTGTAACTTAAATGGTAACAAATTGACGATCAACGAGATGGTAACGGACAATCTTGGTCTATATACATAAACAGCAACACACACGAAATCAGCAAATGACGCCCATGGCATCACTCATGCGTTACCATTCTAGAGGATTCTTATGCCTCTATATCCTGTACTTTTATTGCAAATGCTCATGCTTCAACCAAAACCCTTCTTACAAAGCAAGCTTCGGTTGATCTAGCGAGATCTATAGAGATATATACGTTGTAGACTTTATGCAGTCTACCACTGTCCAATATTCTATCTATCGTAATATCTGTATATATGATATATTTTGAGTGCAATAATGTCTCCATAACTTTTTGCTATTATTCATGAACTGTTACATATAATTTCAGGTGAGAAATTAGTTTTTGATATATATTTTCCACTCAAATCTTTTATGAAGTATCAATACTGTACCAACGGGTCTCTACATCTGTTATTTTTCATTTTATATCACATATTAAAAAAAATGGGTGTATATTATAGAGTACGATACCTTAGCGAGTTGATAAATAATTTCTTCAAGCGTGTACTCAGTATACAACGTGTCGGCTGCTTTCAATTTATCCATCATTTCTTCATATTCTTCCTCACTGATGATGGGGCCATCTCGGTCATAATCTGAAGTGCCTGGAATATAATAATTCATAGTCCAGTATTAATATTATTAAACTTCTACGTCAACTTATTCTTTCTTATCCCATTTATTTTATCATGGTCTGCGTAACTAAAAAGTAGTCTTATATTCTTTTCCATCTGAAATGCTATATATATGCAGAGCTGAATTAACCATTATAGTAGACAATTGCCTAGGGATGCCTGCATCAGCTAGAGACACCTCATGGGCACACAATACATAGAAAAGCCATACAGTGAAACTTTATCTCTTCAATAATTGATGTTAAATAAGTTGATCAAATAATTAATATTTACAAAACCATAATTTTAATAAGTATATATGTATTGTTTATATTAATATTTAGGTACCTCTTTTTGATTGCATGTTTTAAACAGAAAGAGGTCCCGAGATTTACATTGCTAGACATTATAGTAATTGACTCTATACACATACCAAATTTCTTGAAGATTATTGAAGGTGTGAAAACTTAAAAACGAAATGTACTTACTCACTTTCATATATTTATTAAATAGCTAAACGAAAAGATCGATAACAAAAGCTAAACAGAATATAACGTTTTAATTGTCCATGGTAAATTAGATAGATGAGTAACTTTCATGTAAGTTTTAATAAATTTGTCGCTACACGTTTATATAAATGTTATAATTAATTCGGTCTATAATTAAATAAATAACGAAGGTGAATGGTAATCGCGTGGTAATTTCAGCTAATTATCGTTTGTACATTAATGGTCCTTGTGCACGTTATGTACAACCTTGTGGTAATATTGCGGAATCATGAAGTAAGTAGTAACGGTCGCATGAAGTAAGTACCTACTACGTACTTACTTCATGCGACACCAGATTGTACCTACTTTTAACGACCTTAAGAACTCTATATGAATATTATATCTATGAAAATAAACTATAGTTATTAGTACCGTTGGTAAAGACGTGTATTTTGGAAGAATCAACAACAGAATTTAAATATATATAGAAAAATATAATAAATATTTAGAATTGTGCGTCGTGCACATCTACATACAATATTAAAAGGGTGAATCTTTGTCTTATGAACTATTCTAATGTTGTTGGCCGCAGCTCGTCTTTACAGTTTCATCGAAATTACCAATCGGCACTTCAAACTCGCGGATGAATTTATGGAATGACTAAAGGTCTACTGACGTATACGATTTTAGTCTAAGAGTACTACTCTAGGGTTCAAATCTATGCCATCATTATTTTATGTTTGAAAGAGGGGAGGGGGAGGTACAATAGTAAGAGAACTCTTCTCTAAAAAAAACTATTAAAATGAAACTATAAATGAGAGAGTTTTTGTTGTTTGGATATTTGTTACTGAATCATTTCTAAACAGGTGAATTTCAATGATATTTAGTACTAGATTAACAATTATTAATCTAGTTCGTATATTAATAATTTACTAATACACTTTTTATGTGTGTTTGTCACCTAACTCCTGTAAAACGTCTGAATTTATTTGGATAAAAATCTTCCGGGTTCACTAGTTTATATACAATAATGAAACTAAAACTCACTAATAATATTGGTCTGCAACATTGGGTCATACGCCCTCTTGACGGGCTCCGGCCGCAAGTCCGAGGTGATTGGCAGTACTGGAATTGGCGACAGATTGTTGCTCAGCTCCCAATTTTTGCTAGCGATTGTCCTTATGATATCCGGGCTGTTGCCAAATGGGAATGACTGAAGAGTCATTGGATTGCGATACTGGTAATCCTGGAAATATATTTCTGGTAAAAATATGCTTTTAAATGCAAAAAACATAGGGGCCGGTAAAAAGTCGCAACTATATAGTTTGTCGTAAAAGAAACATTACTAATTATACTAAGAATCAAAGTGAAATACTAAAATAAATATTAAACTTTTATACTAAATTAGTACTAATTGATCACGTGACCATACAGTTTATAGTAAGATTTTAAAAATTATTTTAAATTTTTCGTTTAGTTTTATATGACATGATGATCAGTTTTCTCAATTCTATCAACGTCTTTCCAATTATAAGAAGCCTGTGCATATAAGAAAGAAAAAAAATCGGTATTTACTTCGTAGTAAGTATCACATTGACTAACAAAATTGGATATTTTAATAGTAACTGTAAAATTAGACGCCAACAATAATACAGTAATAAAAAACAACTAATAATGTCTATTTTCTACCAAAATATCTCCAAGTAGTCTACAAAAGAACTAAACTCCTTTTAGATAGCTGTATATTACATTCTATTAAATTTATAACTGCTTTGTAAATACACAAAGAGGATAACATCCTCATTACAGTCCTCAGTACACTCTTGCAGAATATTGCGTCTTATGAATTATATTGTACAGAGCATAAAGCTCTATTGTTGCTGTAATTATGCCATAATTTCGAAGTGGGTGTTATAATAATTTATATAAAGTACTAAGCTGAAATAAAATATAACGCATTTCCTTTCCCTTAGATAGCTTATTGTAAAACTAGATGTGATCGCCTCGGTGGTCTAGCGGTATAGCATATATACTCTTAGCATGCTTCCGATGGTCGCGCGAATCCTCGCACAATGCAAATATTTGTATTCATGAGTATATTTGTATTGGTCCAGGTGTTTGTAAGTATATTCTATATCTACTAAAAATGTATTAAAATGTTTCTGTCAGTTGTCTAGTAGTAAAGCAAGGTCTGCTTAGGGGACTAGTTTGCGATGTGCGAATTGTTTAAGATTAATAATTAATATAAAATTCTCGTATCAGATTGTTAGTTAATCCTCCTGAATTTCATAAAAATTTATATCTGTGTTTTATGCACCTAATTGTTTTTAGGACGCAATCCTTATTTTTGTGATTCGACATTTAAATACTGTATGTAATATAACTTTTCATCTTTCTAGTATCAACCTCTCTTTTTTAATATTAATTTATTATTTATTTTGCAAAACAACATTTACCGAGTCTAGTTCACTCAGCAAACGTGAATATTATAAATTTCGCAAAAAATTACTTCATCTACAATAGAAAACAAAATTATAGTTTTTTGTCACGGTCGCTCAAGTCCACGGCAAATAAATATAAATACGTGTGTTCTATTCCTACCAAGTCATATAATACAAAAATAATTGAATAAAGTCTATAAAGCATTTTACTTACTTAAGGTTCATAAATTGGCACTAACCCGATATACATCGCACTCGGAAACGGATTTAATCAACGAACGAATAGAATATGGTCAATAAAAAGAATAGTTAATTTACTTAATAGGGTTGCCACCTACATATTCTATATGCGCACTTCCGGAAGGACGAGGAAGTGCCTTCACAAAGACAAGTAATGGAGCACAGATGTTTATTGAAGCAGTTACATGCGTTGTATCTTAGTTACATTTCAAACAATGAACGTAGATGTTATTTACTTAATAAATATTGGACTTTACTAAAATAAGGTACCTCCTACTACTTAAAGTGTAAGAGTAAAAGATAAAAAGTTACTATTGGTTATTTGTGGAGCTAAAAAATTCGTATTGATTAAAAGTTATTGAAATAAGTTGAATCGTAAAAAATAACATATATTTTGTACATTAGAAAGAATTGATATCCAATCAAAGGAAAAACTAAATTCATTGTATGTTTATATTTCAGGAATTTCTTTGTACTGCAACCTACATATTAAATGGGATATTAGACTTGCCTCTACACAACGTATTTATCTCCCTTACTGCAAAATAAAAAAGTGTTATTAAAAATATGCCAAATGCTGAAAATAATGTTTACGTATGTAGAAATATGGTATGATAAACATGCTCCTGAACTCCACAAATGTTTTTTTTTCACTCTTATTCGTTATGACAGCCTAGTCCCACGCAAATCTAATTACGACCCGTTTCCCATTAAAATGCCATCTGCATTTATTTAACATATTTCAGTAAAATATATTTGGCAACCCTAACCCTGCCTAGACTTGTTGGACGTTCATTTTTATTTTTATGCGTATTGGCTCATAAACGGAGATTAAGCTTTTAACACAAGACATGTGATGTTAACAGTTATTAACTATAAAAAGGCTATCCACTTTATTACTAACCTTTTAGTTACGTGGCCATTTTATTTTAATCTGTTAGTGAATCTACAGATTGATTCACACACACCACCTTACCGATTAATTCGATTAAATGAATAATAAGTAAATATAAGTTCTGTGCTAAAAATATCCCGTGTAAGAAGTCTCTATATTTCTTATCTTTATCAAACACCGACATTCAAATGCAAATGGTATTACCAAATTCCACCGAACTTTTCTAAGAACTTTCTCACGCTATAAAAAGATTTTCTTATAAAGTCACAATTCTATAGATACCTCTAAACTTAAACAATCAAACTTTTTCGTAGAGATTAAATTTTATAATCTAAATGCTCGTTGCTAACTGCTTCGCTACCGTATTTAAAAAGAAATCGACATTTGAAAAGCGAAAACTTTTTCTATTCTTTTCTGAATATCCAACCGAAAACCTGCAATTGTATTCATAGAATTGAGATTGTGGTCAGGTAAAATGACACTTTTTATTTACTCATGCCAACCTAAGCCAAGTATACTCAATTATAATTAAGTATTAATTCTATTTATTCATTTACCAAAAGTTACACGTTTTCTACTATTATATATATAAATTTCTACAGGAAATATTATTAAGTATTTATTTTTCATATTAATTAATTTACAATAATAAACATTATACAGCATATTAATAATTATTATGCTTATTATTTTTTGTGCGAAATTTCCTGGTCTGGCAATACAAACACATAGCGCTATCTAGTCGCAAGTTAACCAGAGCTTGTATTGAATATGAATTTGAATACTAGACACCTAATAGAAGACATAAACATTTTTTGTTTTAAATAAGTATATATTTACAAAAAATAGTACATGGAAAACATTGAAAAATTCAAAACACAACGTATACAGAAAGCTATGAGTATACAGAAAACCTCTACACTTTTATGTAGAGATATTTGAACAAGATTAAGTAAATATTCCTTTGTGAAATTTTTTCCTCTACGGTACGGGAAAAAGAGAAAAACTTTTCGTGTATTTTTTGCTACAGCATATTATTTAATTTTTTAATCAAGTAGTAACAACGTTGTACCTGTACATTCAAACATATTTTTTATTCTAAAGGTCGTCGCAATTTGCAAACATCGATTTACCACTTAACTCAATACCATATCCATTAGGTAATTTTATTGATTGTATATGTATCTCAATATTTGTATATGTATGACTTTGATTTTTTATAAAAAATATACATGTGTAAAAAATAACCAACATTTGCAGTTGTAAAATGTTAAATTGCATTTCAGTAGAATTGAGTAAAGACTCAGAATACGATCTCAAAGTACTACATGTAAATACTATTGTCTTCTTTTATTAAGTTACGCGTAGACCGTTCTTTAATGTAACTAAAAGTGCTTGTCTGCTGTAAAATTAGTTTTACAGTAGAAAACTTTTAGTTTCATTAGCTTTTAGAAGCAATATTTCATTTCTAACTTGATGTATTGGAATTTTCACTTCTTTTTTATTATTAACCGACTTTCAAAAGAGTAAATTTTTAAATTATGGAGTTATTTTTGTCGAAACTTTACTTGTAATTTTATATGTTCTTTATTGTACAGTTTTTATTTAGATAAAGTAAAAAAAAAATAAAGACAATATGAGAAAAGATGGACTTATCTCTAAAAGAGATTTCTTCCATTAAACTCAACACAACGTGGTATGTTACGCTAGTGGGTAACACATATTTTTATCTTTTTTTATCGTATGAACATCTTAAAAAAAATGTTTCTCCACCGGTGGGGTGACGAGGGGGTGTGTGGGATTCAACCCACTAAAAAATTAAAAGACATGAAGATGCATTAGCATAAGGCGCAATCTAGTTGCTAGGGCGTGGGTCTAAATATATAAAGTTTAAATCTAACTATAACTATTTAAAATTCAATAAATTATGCTATAAAATAAACAATCTAAATAATAATATTTAATATATAAATTTTTTCCTACTTATTAATATTTTCCATAATTATATTTTAATATTTAATGAAGTATTAAATAAAATATTACCTTGGCACTTGCTTGTTCCATAAGCATATTCCTCAGTTTTTCTTGCTGAGCAGACTCCTCAGCCGCCTTCAAGTTTTGTGAATAATGAGCGCGAAGGTAATCGATGTTGAATTTAATTTCTTGTAGAAATGCGATTGCTTCTTCCTTTGTCATCTGTACATAACACAATTTCTTTATATACAATAGTGATATTATATTTATTATTAAATAAATCGTAAATATATACATCTAAATCAAAAATATTCTTAAAGGATTTAAAATCATGGGCACCAGAGGTAGACTGTAAAAAATGTATGTGTGGATACTTCAGTCTCAATTATTTAGTTGTGTTTCGGTTATGGGGTGCTAATTAGGCGGTGAAATTACAGGATATAAGATCTTAGTCTTCTGGAATGGCAAAGGATGAGTAGTATTGCGGGTGTCATATGGTATCATATGATAACCGTAGTGCTGTTCATATACATATGCGACGGCTACCGCTTAACAACAGGTGGGCCGTCAGCTTGTTTGCCATTCGAGAAGATTCGATAGAAAAATCAATTGTTATGTTGAAATTTGACATTAAAGGTGTAATTTTGTCGGATTTCGAACCAAAGTGACTATTCTTTGTCTAATTTAAAGAATTTATATTAAGTGTATAAAAACAATTACCAATCCCTCCTGGAGAAAATCTTCTATGGCTGTAGTCACACCGCGCTCGTCGCCTGTCCAAAATACATATTCTGCCATATCCAGGGGAGAGTACTGTACACCAGCGTAGGACGAATAGTGATCCATCTAAATATTAATATTTAAATAAATATCTATAATCGTAACTAATATTGTAAATATATGCAGCCATAACAGCTTAAACATCACTAAATAATCATGAAATGTAATTGATATATTAAATTATAGATATAGGTATGGATAATTCAGACAGCGCCATCTAGTCCCAGGCCAAGCAGAGCTTGTGTTTGGGGTATTAAATAACTATAATTATACATATTACAAACACTTGTTTGTAAATACATACAAGTTAGTAGACTATAAAACGACGGAGGTTAGAAACCTTAAAAGTAAGCTTAATTTATAACTTCTATAAATTTAACTAACTTAAATACCTAAACTAACTTTGTTAAACTTAATTAAAGCGTTGGGTTTGTGGCATTATTTATGACATACATATTGTATATACAATCATATTCATGTAGCATATATTAATGAAAATACGGTAGAAGAAATAAATTATCAAAATTCTTATTATTCCGTATTGTAATGAGGTTGACTATCCTTTATAACTTCACGACGAAACCCAAAGTTCAATCAGAAGTAGAATGCAAAGAGTGAATTCATGTGTTATTCAATACTCACATTATTCTTTGTTTCTTTTGTAATGTCAGCGTTGAATGCGCGTCGGACTGCCGTATGTCCAGTTTGAGGATTGTTTGTAGCGGACCCAGGCTGAACCAAACGAGCAGCTCCATGGAATACCTAGTTAAATAAAGTATTACAATATAAAAGACGAACACACAAACTTTCGTATTTTTGTCTCTCTATTTGGTCAAAGTCAATTCGTGTTCCTAATCGATAACTTTATAATGCTGTCTATAAGGCTCTGCTGTTTTGAGTTTACACTAGACATACGATTTACTTGAACTGTAAGTCACTTTTAAATTTCCAGTAATGTAAAATTCCTTTTTGCTTGTAAATGTTAACATCATGCTTGGTATCGAAATCGTGACCATCAAATGCAAGGTGAAGAACTAAACTTCAACACCGAGGGCGTGAAGGCGTCAAATAAATTGTGTTAACTTCGTCTTTGCTTCGTATTTTTTTAATGGATTTGAAGAGCAACAGCCATCGCTATCGCTATACGCCGATAGGGCACCAGTGAAGGATGATAGAAAAAAAGTCTAGTCAACCAATCGTCGCGAAATGATTTAAAATAAACCATGATGTTTTCCAGTGGGAACCGCGTGGAAGTCAATCTGATTCGTACATTAATACCAGCTTTCATTACTAACCTTGCCCTGCCCCTCTCTACTCGTTTATTACCGATGTGTAGTACTTAATAATTAACGAAAGATAAAATACCTAATAATATTAGCTTTGTAATATGACTCAAACTTTTGCAGGGATATAAAAATAAAACTGATTTATTATTTCTCAAAATTAATTAAGAAGCATTGTAGTCCAGTGGATAAGTCTTTGACGTATTACGCAACTCGAGCACGACCTTAGCCTTGCGACTTAGTACTTTTATAGGGTATTTTTAATTATTTATTTATTTACAGTTTAATTGTTCTTGTAAAGTACTTAAATAAAAACTGGCTATTTAAAAATATTAGTGAGGCGACTGAACTGTGGAGCGCGATGCCCCTTTGTAAAAATAATTATTAAAATAACAACTTTTTAATAATTGGCCTTACAAGAAGCATCGCCTTCCATGGTCTACCTAATTTAATATTATTTATTTAGAAAGTTTATGATAATAAATGATTATAATTAATAATGCATATTACTTGTAAAAAGCAACTTTTATAAGGGTTTTCGAAACTCCGTTTGTTAGAGCTAGGTAAATTTTTTTAATATATTACAGTTACTAACTTTGCGTCAATATTTTACTTCGCTGGCCTTATGGTAAATATTTTACTCACTTTAGTAGTTTGTTCCTCACTCGCAGCAGTAGGCGTGATGGTGCCATCTTGTACGCTGACGTGACTCCCGTCCTGCACGAGCACGCGATGCACGCCTTCAGCGGGCACATCCAACTGAGCCTGCGCGTGCACTCGAGGCTTCTCGCCAGGTGCTGAGTCTGATGACGCGTGCTGTTCCAGTCTCGATACCAACTCGCCGTTAGTTTTTACTGCATCTATAAAGTTATCATGAGTTTAGAAGACGGATATTAAATTACGCTTTGAAATAAAAATTCAAATTTGTAATTAGATATCAATATGTCTTTCCTCGAAAAAAAATCGATATTTAAATAAGAATATAATTTATTGAGTAGGTACTAATATAGTCCCAGACATAATTAATTTTATAGCAATCTAAAAAACTCTCAAATACCTGAAATTTATTGACACGTAATTGACATACTCGTAATATCTCAAATATTTTATCGATAGCAGATATTATTTTCATAAAATGTTGGCTTTTTTAACTACACTCATAGGATCAAAGCAATATTGAAGCTTACGCCCACCATAGTACACAGTTATGACAGGCGACGCAACGCCCAAAGTTAATAATTATAATCTGTCGCTACGTTCGTTTGCGAGAGACAATAAAAACGCTGCTACTCTATAATCCTATATAGAATCGCACAACCGAAGGGTGAGTTCTGGTCTACTGAGATACTGGCTTCGTGCTTAGTTCAGTTTCCAGGCTCATGCAATCATAAATTGTTTATGAAAATGATTCAAGACTTGTATATGATTGTGGTTTAATAAATTTATTTAATATATTATTATTACTATATTTTGTGCAGAGAGACTATTCTCAATTTTGTTTTTTTTTCTGGTTTAAAATTATAGGTATATAACTTTATTACTGGGTTATACATGTAATATACCTACAATTTAAAGAGACATTATATATTAATAGTGTTCCTAAGAATCATATCTACTGTTATTTATTATTATTAATAAATGTTAGATATTACGGGCCATTATCTCAGAAATAGACCAGGTATCTGTAGATTAAGACTTATACAAATTTTGGTCACGTCCGTAGAACAGAAACGACCTCTGTATTTAGTATTCATTGTTCTGTTCCGATAGCGGACACCGACACAACAAGGCTTTAAAAAGACAAATAGTCCCCTTTGTACGGCGCACACTAACCTTTATCCTTGTATCACGAATAGTTTAACTATATTAGGTAGTATCAGTTGACCTACATTTACTTGACCCGACGTCAGGTGTAGGTATTAAAAACAAAACAAAAAAATGTAAATGGAACATCTAAGGTTCTTGGATTAGTTTACTAATTGTATCTATAAAATAGGAGCGCACTTAGGACTTCTTTACAAGGACAATATTTATTTTATTTTCATAACCTAAATCTATTACAAAATTAAAAACATCAGCCTTTAAGAATTCTTTTTAACTATCAGAGACAAACAAACAAGTTCTGTTTTGCCTTTGTTTCAAGATAGACTAGGTAAAAGTAGATAAATACGGTATTGTTTATGTTACTTGTTAAAAACAAATGGGTTGTAGAATGTTAATGAATGCTAGTAACTTAGATCCGTTCTTTATAGAAATCTATTGTATAGCTACAGATGCTTAGCATATTTAGCAGATGAGTGCATCATCATTGTCTTGCCTTTATTTCATTATTTTGGATTGAGGCAGTATTTAAATGTTCCCATATCAGTCAACATAGCTTACTGTCCTTTTATACATATCAACTTTCATACAAACCATCCATCTACGTTCATATTAAATACTTTCTTTAATAGGTGGTCCTCGCTCCTCCGCATTTAGCAGATGACTGCAAAGACTTGAAATAATTATGATAAAACAAAAATTAATACTCACTTGTTGACTAACTCCCAAATCAGGACGTTTCAATACTTTACGACATTAAAGTTTGTATATAATGAAATAGACTTTTTGAGATTTTTCTTTCAAATATAAGCGAGAGAATATAAATTACTCTCGAACGAAGCCGCAACGTAGTAATTCTGTAATAGTATATCATTTCGAATATATATTACATGTAAAACATGTACGAAACCTAATACCATCTGATAGTGTATTCGGTGCCGTTGCCAATGTTTATAGTGATATAAAAACACCCATAGTAACACTACAGCATAATAGTGTTAGAAACGCGGAAACTGTGGTTGAACATTACATTAAAACTATTATATTAAACTATATTATAAATGTTAAACTTCTCGAAATCGCGTTACGTGAAATCTAAAAGTCATGATTGCAAAAAACTTTGTGTAAAATTATTATTCTATATCCTGACTGACTTTTCGGTTACAATAGAACAGGTAACAAACCGAAATAAGTCGAGAAAAGGCGGAAATACTTGCTCCTGCTACAAAGTCTTCTTTTCATAAAGAGAGCAATCAGTTTGTTTAATATTTAAATCATATTAAAATGATCAATCAACTTCTAAAAATAACTATACTACAATATTTTAATGATGTATTATACATACATAATATTTAACAGAGTGCGTATTCTAATTAAAAATATCATAGGAGAGAGAATTGTTAACGATGTCATATATCAATTCAATAATTGTTCAAATCCCTGGACAACCATTGTGCTTTATTCCTGGTGAATTCGCCACAATGGAAAAATTGATCTCACTTAATCCTCCACTGGTGCCTCATCAATATATAACTGTAGCGAAGGCAGATGTTTCATAATTACCCATTAAAAAATATCAATGGTAGTTTCACTGATTTCTTTCGATATATATTCTGACATTTCTCCCACATCATAGGCAGTGTAAGTACACGCAAATGATATCAGTATAATAATAAATCTAATCAAAATATTCATGAGCAATGAATCTGTCGCGCAACTTGGACTGACTTTAAATTAGTTTCCACTCCACTTAGTCAAGAAAAAATGTCTTAAAAAAAGCAATTTATAGGGCAACTAGAATATGCTAAGCGTTTTATCAATTTTACAACTTAATACTACTTTTTAATTCAAGAATACATATATTCTTCTATTAAAAAGTTTGTAAAGTTGTATTCGTAATTCAAACGTTTATAACCAGTTAGGATGTACGGGTTTAATTATCACAGTACACTAAAATACCTAGTGATAATATTATACATAACAAGAACAAATTAATTTTATTATAATCAAATAGGTACGTTAGCATGCTGAAAAAACAACAAGAACACGAAAATAATCTAATAAAGTAATTAATTTACTTTACTGTATAAATATTAAATATATTACACTAACACTCAAATTGTATTTTGTCTGTGAAAGCGGTATATTTCGAATATGGTTTTCGTACGGAAGGCGGGCCAAATATTATTTATACGTTATATATATAACTATACATAAATATTTGTTCATACCGTACCCAATATCCAGATAACGCGTCAAGTTAGTTACAAAAACCATGTTGGATTATAAAGGTACCAATCCTAGCGAAATATCGTCGATTTATGTTTATGTATTTATATCATTTTTAAGTTGTTAATGTTTATTCCCAATGGAATAGGCGCAGGATCAAAGCTATAAAGCCTATTCTTGTGTAATAACTTTCTCGAAAATCGATGGCCAATAAACCGATCTCCATTTTCTATCATTGCTATTCTTATACAACCTAACTTGGATGTAGCAACTTGTTACAGTAAAAATAAACAAACATAGCTATTTTGTCCTAGGAGAACCATTAATATTATATTATATTCCCGTGGTAATTTATAGAATGAAGTCGAAAGTCGAGTCTGAAATTACGTCGCAGGCACACTTGTATTGTTCGTGAAGTTCCATGTGTTAGGCAAAATAGATCCCCTTTGTCAGTATTATCATAACAGCTGATAAAACAAAGATTACTAAAATTATGCTACGATCGATATAATGTACTTGTGTGTATCGCTTTATATGCTTGTATCAGTATAATTGAGGCTTACATAATCAATATTGTATTCATCAAACAGAAGTGAATATTTTTTTTTTTACTACGAATGCGTGAATATATGATGGCACAATCATATGTAAAATAATATTACACCATTTAGCGCGAAAGGCCTATTAATCTCGACGTGTAAGAAATTAATCCTATTATGGTTCGTATAAATAACTGTTGTTTTTTATTATTCAGGTTCTTTTTTTTTTTGCTTTTCTGTATATTTAGGCTGATTCCTTTTGCAATAAAAAAAAATACGACAATTTGCTCTCGTGTTAATTTTGTCGTTTGATGTCGGTTTTTTAAATAAAAATCTTAACGTCTCATGAAAATTATGAAATGATGTTTAATTACATTTGTAATACTTATAATTAAAATGAATAAGCGTCACTTTAATAAAGTTAGATTGTATAAAATCGATCTGTCCAAGGTCAATTTATCTGGGAATAGCTTCGTTTTATTTTCTCAATAGACTCATTTAACATAAATTTATTTCTTATGATCTGGATGCCATAATTTGAATTTAAATTAAGTATGCCAATTTTATTTACATGCCAGAGTATTTCATAAGATTATAGAGTTTAAGATCAAAATTAAACTGGGTATTTTCAAATACCTATTCATTAATGTTGTTTATCCCAATAAGAGAAAATTGGATGAAGCCTAACAATGTTACCGCCGCGGACAATTTTAGCGGAGTGTAAACATTTTATGTAAATATTGAAAAATCTGATACGCTTTAATTTTGTAATAACAATACCTGCGTTTGACACGTGTAAACAAATTAATTTGTACATTTCATGTGGACTTTAAACGTTTTTTGTTTCATTTGTTTATGGATTTATGGCAATAAAATAACTGATTTTAGATTAAAATTAAAATTGCAGATGCTTTAGGTACATAATTTTAATCTCGACTTAGACGGCGTGACTGGAGTTAGTTGACTGGCTGGGATAGCCTATGTACATCTCCATCCCAAATTTTAGCTACAGGATAAATTTCATGAAGATTGATTAAGCCGTTGAAGCAAGCAAACAAACTCACTTTCAAATTTATGATATTAAGTAATAACGATTATACTTTTTGGTTGCTGCATAAATTGAGATTAACGTTAATAGTCTTCATCCGATCATTAAATTATACATAAACGGTGTGGTCGTATTTCTCTAAAATAAGTAAATATTTTTTATTAATCTAATTTAACCGTCATTGAAACTGGCGTAGGCGTCATCTACCGCCTAAAGTTCGAAACTAATTACCAACTTGAGATCCTTCTTTGCAGCTGGAATACACAATTTACAAAGAACTTAGGATATTGAGTAGCGTATTTTGTGTGAAATGTAAATATTTATCCACATTTATCCATAAGATACCTGTACACTGTGTCAAATGATGTCATTATCAAGCGCCGTCACAGTGTGTGAGTGGGAAGGGATTAAGACTGGTCACATTCCTAACAATGTGCCTTGTTACGTGAACTTCTAGTCTTATAAGAAAAACCTGAGCATATTCGCATAAATTGTAATTGTACACCTTAGAAAATTCTGAAAATATTATACAAAATTATACTCACCAAGTCTGTGATATTCCACGTGTTCGGCAATTTCAGGAACAGCCTCTTTACTGGATTCCGCTGAAATAATAAAAAAGTTTTATTGCTCGAATTTAAGAGGCAATATTTTATCTAACAATGCTGGTACCTCAAGGAAGGTAATTACGACATCAAAAAAGCGGTATTAAAAACTAATAATGAGAGGATTTGTTATTATAAAGTCTTAAATTCTTAGGATTTATTTCTTTTCTAGGACTAGTCGTCTAAAGTATACTTTTTATCAGTATCTGTTACACTATTTTCGCGAATTCAATAAAAAATATCACCGAGTTTTTTTTTATATATATTCCCACTGCCTGCTTTATAGTTTCATTCAACTCCTAAGATAATATTTGTTTAAATTGCTAAAACTCTTAAAGAGTTTGAAAAACATTAAGATTCATCTCGTATCATACTAACATCATTTATTAGACTAAAAGGATCTACTAGTTCTAATTGAAAAAATCTTATAGTATTGAATAGCCCATTTATTTAAGAAGCATCAATGCAAAATGTTAGAAAACGAGTAAAATTTATTTCTTTTAAAAGCAAACAAAGTCACACGTTCCAACTAGTATTCTATAAACTTCAGATGTAAGCAGGTATTTTAATTGTGTAAGACTTTATTTCAGATAAATTCGTACAACCTACTCATCACATTTATAGAAATTTGGGCCGTTTTATTAATAGAAATACGCGTGGGAATCGTTCGTTATCTACAAACGGTAACAATGTTGTTAAATATTATCTTTTATATTCATGTAAATTTTGTGGTTATGAATAGTAACTAGAATAATTGCTTGACTTATTTGATGAAAGTCGGTCAACTAATGTAACTGAAATGAAATCGCATTATTTTTGTTACCTATTTTATTATGTTTATTAGAGAATAAATTATATTTTATATAAATGTTGTATATATTTAGATTTAGATAAATTAATATTTTATGTAATTATTTAAGACTAAATTTATAAAGAGAGAAATATGAAAAAGGAATATATTAAATTAACTATCGTTGAGTACATACCTCTGAAGTATACTAATTATTAATACTAGTGTATTAATAACTATACTTAGTGTGTTAGTATAAGAATAAATTAAGTAACTAGGTAAATATTTCATATCTCTAAGTAGGAAATACATAAATATTATTTTGAAGCATATTAATTGTTCTTTTACATGTTTTTAAATAAGTCAAAATATATGTGATTTGATGATGCGTACTGACGTTCCCCGTAAAACCTAAAGGTCACTTATGGCGTCATACAGTAATGTGAACACTAAATGAAATTTCACGTGTCAAATTATTTATGTATAATACAATAAATACATTTTCATCGTATTATACAAAAATACTTTGATTAATCTGTGACTGAACTGATCGCTATCTGTACATAGATATATACCTCATGAGAAACTTACTAATGTTATAAACGCGAAAATTTCTGAGTATGAATGGATATTTATGCATTCCTAACCACTGAATAGATTTAAAGGAAACTTTACAATATATACATCAGAATAACACAGGCTATAAATTTCTCGCGGGTAAAACCGCTAGTAACTATTATAATTGTTAGAAGATTTTGTCAACATAAAGGAACCCAAAACAATAATTGTTACATTTTTTTCTATTTGGCAGCCCACATGATGGAAACTAATTACTGTGATCACTTTCATACTTGAATAGCGCTATTTGATAGCGCACCTGGAAACTGATTGCTGTAGTATCGCCTACATACTTGAATAGCCCGTATGCGAGGTACGAGTGTACCACCATCTGTATACCATTCGCAGTATCTTAATTTGTCACCCGTGGTACTCTTTGCATTGCCACTTCTGAGGATTAAGATTGCTATGCTTCCCTTGAAATTTACTATTTTTATTCCCGGAAAATTTAATATAGAAACTGAAGTTTCTACGCGTTTTGTTATGTAATTCTCGTAATTCACTTCCCGGGAGTAAACATCATTCTTCATTATTTGAATAATAAATCATCCGAGTTTACTCAATACAATTTTATGTTATGAATTTAGACCAATTTAATAAAGCAAATTTTGATAATAGATAATTTGATTGATTGGTATTAAATAAGTACATACAGCTAATATTTGTTTTATTCACAAAAATATACCGTAAATTTAATACATTTGCAAGCCCTGGCTTTCGAAATAGATAAACCTGTGCCACGAAAGTTAGTTATCTCCGTCATACTATATAGGTACATTTTAATTATATCAGTAGATAGTTGAGTACATACAGGAATAATAAAAAAAACATATCTAATATGAATTCGTTTGGGCAGTTTATTAATTATTTGTTCTTATTATTAATTCTTGTCTGTCTATTGATTGCTTTTTTTTATTTGACGATGAACATAAATTATATCACTAAAAGAAATATAGGCTTTTATTTATTTCATAACAGCAGATACAGTCATGGGGTAATAGCTAGTTGTACACAGAAACACATTTATGCATCTTGCCAAGTAATATAAGTACATGATAATTTTATTTTTAGATTTTTACCCGCCACAGTTTTCCCAGTTTTACAAAACATATACTGAACAGTGTATGTTTTCAAAAAGATGAAATCAATAAGTAATATACATATGTATATATATACGATTAGATTAATTAAATACTAATATATAATAATATACTATAATATATAATACATTTCTATAATGAATCTATACAATTTTTGAATAGATAGAATGCTTTTACGCCACCCGTATTTCCTTAGATAGAAATTTACATATAAATATATGAGACTTTCCGCTGACCACAGCCTCTAAAAACCCTCATTCATACCGTAATCTTGCAATATGGAAGGGTTGAGGTAATTTGCAAGTACTTTCAATTCGCATCTTACCATGTACTCTGCGCTAGCGAAGTTATACTTTTAGATTTCTAGTTGATTTTTCTTTATACATTAAAGTTCAGTAACAAGTAACAGTAAATTTCTAATATATTTTTCACACCACGGAGAATAGACGTATGATAAATAGATACATTTATATGCGCCGTGCATTTATTCTCTATTAACTTCGAAGACAGACGTACAAGTCAGAGCAAAATTACCTTATTCATAATTAAGGAACAGAATTTTGTCTGGCAACCAACTAATTTCTGATTTGTATAAATAAGTTGTGGCAAATAATAACATGAAGCCTTGCTATATGTTTTGTAAACTATATAAACACATCCTTAGTACTTCCATCTTTAGAAGTAAAATCTACTCCCCGTAGAACTTTTATGTAATCAAAGTTGGTATATTGTAATATCGTGGTCTTGTTAAACTTTAATTAGATAGAAGACGAGGAAAATGGGTATCGATTAACTTTCTACGAATTGACATTCGTTTAAATATTCATTACGTCATGTAATTTTTATTTATGAATTGAATAGGTAATACTATACAATGTGTAAAATAAAGCGAACTAAACCAATATATAATAGAATTCAAATGATCCAGTATAAATCAAAATAATTAATCTGTGCTTTGTCTATTATTGAAATTGGCATTCTATTTTCAAATGTGAAAAAAATACGAACATTGCTCTTATTTTAAATTTTTAAATATTATTAATAACTATAAAATAAAGACGCTAATTTAAACTAAAGATTTTGGCTGTATGGGCTGAGTCCTTTTGCCTTTCCTACCTGAAAAAAAAGAGGCTAATTTCATAAGCATAAGCATTTCAATATCAGAATTTAATGAAATTTTTATTATATCCACGCTCTATGGAAATAAAGAGAATAGGTAAGTAGATGAATGTATGCTGTCGAAATAGGTAACTTAAGAAATAAAATCATGTAAAACAAGACAAACGCGTTAATAATCAGTCTATCTATTCAATAAAGCTACAAACAAAAGTGATATTGTAGCATAAAGCTACAATATCACTTTTACTATGTCTATCTACATCGTCATATTATAAAGATGCAATTCATTTGATTCTTAAGATTGTAATAAAGCAATTAAATCAGCCGGTTCATTGAACTATGAGGTACTCTTAGATAGGTACCTACCCTTATTGTTGCCTCCTTTTATACTTGACAACGCCCCCGGATTACTCTTACAGCTCAGACAGGACCGTACATTAAAATACACTTTACAGGTAGACAACAATACTGATCGATGTTATATATATATAGGTAGTATTATGAAGCAGCTATTGTTATTAAGAATTTCATAATACTACCATTGTGCGAAGTAATTTTCAGAGATACATTTTGCGAATTTTGCTATATGCAAATATTACTCTGTATAAGGAACGAACACTAGAGCGTGGTGAATATAAAACTACTGAGACAGCAAAACCAACAAAATGTTCAATATAGGCTATGTGTCAGCAAGATTGTGATAGCAGTGGGTCGACGAGAAAGTTTAATATTAAATTCGGAAATCTCTACTATTTAATGCTCCTACTGTATATAAATAATCAAAGTCTAACATATATACCTATTAAGAATTTAGAAAGACAACCTTTGTGCAAAGTGAAGTTCTCAAAAATTAACAAACTATGTACTTTAACTCGTAATCGTATCCGTACACTATTTTTTGTTTATCAACATTTTAGAATAAAACAAAATCTATATTTGAAAGACTCTTACCAGAATACATTAGTGAAAAGCCTATCCAAATCTCTTAAGTCATATAGAAGAATAATTAATACACGTAAAAACCAAGATAGAAATTCTAAAATTGTTTTCGGTTAGTTATAATAGTTTTTTAAATATATCTTAAATGTACAGATAATGATCAGTTGCATTTTTATTATACTTATATTGCCTTATCGGCAATATGCATATTCTCTTTGTGTAAGGAAAGTATTTATTTTTATTATTTACTAGCTGTCTCGGCGAACGTTTTGCCATATAAATTAATAACGCTATAAAAAAATAGGGGTTGGTGATAGAAGGGTGAATATTTAGGGTTGTATGTATTTTTCAATCCTAAATAATAATATTAATATAAATAAAAAAATATGTCAAAAAATTTAAAAAATATATTTAGGGGTGGATATCTCTTACCACTCTAATTCTCAGACCTACTGAATATGTATATAAAATTTCATAAATTCGATCAATCTAGCCGTTTGGGAGGAGAATGGTAACTAACATTGTGACACGAGAATTTTATATATAATTTTACCCAAAATGTTCAATATAATGTTTGATGTGTCAGCAAGACTTGGCACTCATGATGGCCAAGAGTAGCAAAAGGTAGTATTAACCAATGAACAAATGTTCTCAACGAGTCCTAACTGTTTAATAGAGTAAATATCTTCATAAAATTTAGAACTTGACTTTGACATTTTTCATTTAGTGTATTTTCTTAGCTATATACTTTTTAACTTACTGCAGTTAGCTATTAAGTTGAATGATGTTCATCACAGGAACTTATAGACCTATTAAAAAAGATCTAAATCTGTTTGTATATTGAAGCTATGTACTACGTACTTTTGCAATGTACCAAACCTCTATTTTTACTTATAATAATTTAATACTCACCCATTTTCAATTTTTCCAATTGCTCTACCGGCACATCCTGGAACAAAACAAATAAATTAACAAACAAATTAAGTAATGCAATCATAAAAGCTATTAAATCATATTTAAATATTCCGATTTTCTTCTCTATGATATTGACATTATTTTTAACAAACCTTGTAGGCACTTAATAATTAAACAGTAAATATACCTAAGTATGTTTCGGTAATGGTGACCCTTAACGGGCAAACGCAATATAGGGCGACACCCCTCGCTAGATAGACCGTGTATATTACAGGGAGTCTATGGGGTTGGTTCTGGAGTACTCAATATATAGATTTTACGTATTTGGAATGGCAAATAACCTGACGGTCTATGTGATGGCAAATGGCAGCCGTACCTTATAAACATCAATAGCAAAGCATCACACGCAACACATCGTCACGTGGCTCTTGCGGATTCGCGAACCACTTACGCATTGCCATTTCTAAGGACTGAGAGGAGAATGTCATGGTTATGTACTTTATAATTTAATTCCAGTCTACGGGAAAAGTTTATGCTCAGATGTAGACTGTAAATGTCAGAAATGATGGATGATAATGGACCGCACATAAGGAAATTAAACAAATATATTTACTTACAAAGTACAGTACTGTCTAAAAACTTTAATTAAACCGAACATCACAGGAACATTAGAAGTTTTCCAAGCTATAAATACCTAACTCACATTACCAACTTCAATGTTTTTGTAAAGGAGCCTCTGAAATAATCTAATTTTAGAAATTCATTTCAGTAGCTCTACGGATTCTGTATTTAGTTTGTGGTTATTTCTGTTTTATGACAGATATAAATAAAAGAAAAGTAAATATATCTCAAGCAATACAAATATTTGATAAATATATTTATCCGTGTCTGTCTAGATATGAATTTGTAGGGACGGGTACATATATGTTTGTTAGTATTTGTTGTACAATACCAGAAATCATAATTATTATTCCTATTATTGAATTACCGATATTTCAGAAAAGTAATAATCGGTACAAGGTACAATACAATAATAAAAACAATACAAAATAAATATTTTTTATACCAATCTGTGTATTTTTTTTCTACGTGTACCTTACTTACCTTATTTACAAACAATTATGTACATCATTTATTGTAGAGGTTTTCCCATTGTTCTACGGATCTAACTGCATCGAATTCCTACTTATATAGCCGTCCGTCCATTTTTTTATACCACGATAGTGTCCATAAAGTGTACGATTCTTCCCTATCAGTTGTCGGTTCTCTCAACTTCACTACTCTCGGCATGCTGATATGTTATGTACGCTGTAATTAGCTACGCGATCGATTTTGAAATAGCTATCTGAGAAGAAATATAATGTCAGATTTGGTCTAAGGATTCATTATTAATATGAAGAAGTACTTTAGCTTTGACGCAGCGAAGTCCACTGAAGTCTACAATCTATTATTTAATAATTACTATATCATTAACAGACTGAGCCGCAAAATTCATAAATTTCATTCATAAACAACGACTTAAACCAATTAACTTTGAACAGCACAGTTTAAGAAGATCCAACCCAACTCCAAAAATATACCGAATAATATACGCCTCTAAGTCACATCACAGTAATAATAAAATCTTATTTGCATACTTAAAGCCAAGAAATTCGCTGTACAGAATACTAAAGTGGTCGAATGAGATATTTGCATCCAGAAGCTTATAGCTGAATATAGAAACTGAAGTAATAACAATATTGTGTCTCCAGATTCTTTACAGGATAAAAAGAGAGAACCGATTGCCAGAAACCTACCGCCTATACTTCACTTCATCAACATACTAGCTTCAAGTTATGAATAAAGTCCTCTCATATGTACACGTTCCAGAGACTCTTGATGTATTGACCATTCAGGATTTATCTGATTATGATAACTCAATCTAGGTAGTATCTTAGGACTATCTTTCCCAACTTTCTCTAACCTAATATGTTTAACTACAAGATTTAGAAATATAAATATAAAACAAACCAACAGTTTTCATCTCGTCACGATTTTACTACTTTATTGTATGTAAAGAATACAGGGTTGGCCGTGAACAATAGACTAAGTAAAAGCCAAGTAACTAATGAAACAGAACCACTTTCACTAATAAACAACGAGAAAATCTAAAATTATAATTTTTGGCTGCATGTGTATACTAAGTTGATCACGTATTCCGCTTTTTTACGATGGTTTTATTAAAAATAAGTTCTCTTAATTTAAATTAATTTTAGTCATTCAGTTTCATTAATACGCTAATTTTCAACTCAGTATATCTGTATACCTAATTTCAACTGCTTGAAGTAAGTAACTGCAACAGTTGTAGATCCGGTTCCAAAAAGGCCATTTATTATTTTACTATACAATTAATCCCTTAGCAATAAACGTATTCTCGTAAAAGTTATGTGTATTTTTTCATCCTTTCTGTATCTCTTAACTATTACTTCGAATTAATAGAAAAGTTCAAATTCTAACCAAATGAAATAGGAGATATATATTAAGAAATTATAGTCATTTCAATAACGCACAATGTCCAAAACATCCTTTCTTTCACTCTGATATTGTGTGTGGCGCAGTATACTCGGGTTATTGTATATATAGATAGTATATTGTATTAGAAGTAAATTCCAGATATAAAATGTAATATAGAATGAGGTAAAATAATTAACAATGAATACAACAAATTAGTATGTCTGCTGAAGAAGTCTCTATATTGTCTTCCCGCGCAAAATGTAATGCGCCACAGATACACAATATTGCACAGCGTGCTGTCGCAGTAAAATGACAATCGCATTGTAGCTGTACGTGATGTTAATACTAAGTATTACTATTAACAGTCATAATAAATGCGAAAGTTTGTGTGACTATTTCTTACCTTATCAGAACTAAAGAGTTAAAAGGATTTTAGCGAAATTTGATGTGACGATAGATTAACGTAGGTTTTAATTGTTAAAAAAAAAATACAAAGCCACGTATAACAGCTCATTTTTAAAAAATCATCCACGAAGCGATCATTCATATTAGCTCTTTCATTATAATTCTAATGCTACATGCATTAAATATGCGAAAAACATGTTAATGAGACAATAAACCTATTTGATATGTGACAACTTGAGAATAATATAAAGAATTGGTAGGGGTGGAGGTGACCATAATAATGAGTATTGACTAGACTAATGGTCCTATTACTAGCAATATATCACGTCAGGTTGACCCTTATAAATCATTGTTATTACTTTATGGTAAGTTCATCGTGTTGGCCTAAATAACCAGACCTAATTGACATTCAATCATTTATTTGATACTTTTAACAAATATGGGAGAAACATTTTAACATACCTCGTAAAAAATGGGTTGTCATTAATAATACAATAACAAGTAGTACCTCTCTTGCGTTGCCATTCCGAAGGACTGAGATCTTGATGCCTCCATGTAGATCTTACTCTCAATCGAAATATAGCATAGGAAAATGCCATGCAACTGCTTGAAATGCTTTGAAATAGGCGAGACGAGAGACGCTTGCAAATAACTTTGCAAAAAATCTACCTCCAGTACAAGTACTTTTCCAGCAGTTAAAATGGTAGAATTTTTTTTTATACGTACTTATTTATAGATACGTAATTTATAGATTCACAAGATATTTTATTTAAAAATTTTCACTACTGGTTCACTACTTTTGTATGCTTAATAACAATGATATCGCGTATGTGTTAACATATACCTAATCATACTCATCAAGTACAATATGATCACAGATTATATACACCTAATGTGAGATTGTGGTAAAAAGTGTAGTAGAAATAACAATGAGTATTTTATAACTTTTACAAAATTGCATATAACATATCTAAAGTTATTTTTTTTGAAAAGAAACCCCATAAACATATATATATGAACAATATTTGTAGATATTTAATTATTAGTCTGTATCTACGAAAATAAGTAACTCTCAAGAGAATTTATGTTTGATTCTTATTGTATTGTTATCACAGGCTACTGTCATAACATCAGCTTTACTCAATCGAGGACATCATTAGATTACCGCAGATACAATTTCATGTTGCTACACGGTGGATAGTTTTTGTAGAAATATGTACATAGATTATATAAATAATATTATTAATGATACTTTTATGTAGTTTCACATTACACTGTATTTACTGTAATTAGAGTGCTTACAGGTGGACTCAGGAAAATGTTGTCTGTATGGTTCGTCACCACATTCTATCTATTTTCGGTTTGAATGATGTGATAAGGCACTAAAATTATAGTACTTAGTCCTCTGAAATGGCAACGCAGTTGCGATACCACAGGGGTCATTAATGCCCTTGCTGTGCTATATGTATATAGGCAACGGTTATTATTTACCATAAGGTAGACCACCATTGCAGTTCATAAAAAAAGACACGCATACGATTTTGTGTATATATATGTATTAACTTCAGAGTTGTTGATGTTAGCAGGAAATATTATTGTAAGAGGAAACTAAATTCAATAAATTTGTGTTACAAAAGATAGCCTACAAACACAATGGTACAGAAGAACTACACACATATCTCATATTTCAAATAACATTTTACTGTTTATATCGACAGTAAATATTCATTATATTGATATTCCTTAAAGCATTCGATATTCGATATACTTCTCTAAAATAAATGGCGATTTGTATGTTACCCAGCGAACAAAAGAATGCGTAGGCGTGGGCGGGTGTCTGCTCGTACTTGTCACCTAAATTACAGCTGTCGTACTCACCAACTTGGCACCCGCTCCGTCGCCTGTAACAACGATAAAAAGGTTTCATTAATATCTATTTTTGGCTTGAAACTATGTGACCGTTTTTATTATGCGCGGTATCAGGGATTGATTATATTTTTTGATTCCTCTTTTTAATGGAATTTGAGCTTGCATGGAAAACTTTAGACCTTAGTTAAACACCTCTGATATTCAATCAGTTGAGTTTGACATATTAAATAGAGGCTTGGTAAGTTTCTAGTAATAATAATATTTTATTTCTTCGAAATTTTACATTATACGTCGTTTTCTGGTGCCGAAACTAACTATAAAACTGATTGTCAGATCCTTCTTCTTAAATAAATTCTTGGAAATTTATACTTAACCGAAAACATAACAAAAAGAGAATCAAAATAGGTATTAACATAAACTATAACAGATCATCAGTTACTTCACGGTATTGCACGTAAATATGTGTGTGTAATCTGTTAAAAATGAGAACGTCCTAACTGATAATAATCGTTTATCAAATTGGCCGTAGTTCTTCCTACTGCTCTATGTGCCTGAACCTCTTCAAAATATGAAATGACTGGGAATACATATTATAAAAAGTATAGATAGTCTGCAAATGAGTCGTGAAGCGAAAACAAACTCTTACGAACTGGACAGAAGGCTCGCGAATATATTCTCTGTGGTAGGGATTCCTACTTCTGGGGCCTGACCAGAAGTAGCAAGATAGTGAGTTGTTATACACTGTCTATACTCAAGACTATTTACACACACATACACGCAGTTGTTAAGAAATATTTTTAAAATATCCAGTATTTTATCACTGCTCTACTGAAATAATTTCCAAACCTTCGCTTTGATTATAGGTTCTGAGATTTTGTACCAAATTAGAAAATTCCTTTTCTTATAAGTATTCTTCACAAGTATTGAATTCTTTATTACAAGCAGTTCTTTTGTGCTAATTGACTATTTGACGTTGGTAAAATATTTTTTAAATTACTTTTATGAATAAAATACAGTAGGTTAACTAAAACAGTGAACTATTTTTAGGCTGCCTTTGATAGCTTAATAGACAATCAGGCTTCCTATTAAATTGTGGTAAATAGCCCGGCATCATTTTCCACGGTTCGTGAATAGATTCGCGCCTGAACGAGCATTTAGGTTGTAAACTTGTGAGCTTGTAGCCCATCATCGTCGCATTATATTGCTAGAATATTATGTGTTTACTCATCTTGAGAATTAATCATTGCTTCATTGAATATTGTTAAAATGATGTATGTATATATTTCAACTATATTTAATTGAACAATTACTTTAATTTCATACTTAACATGATACATTTAAAGTACGTTTTAAGTTATATGATATACTTACAGACAATTATCCCCCCGCCCCCCTTAAAACATAGACTTAATAGTCCTGGGTTTGGATTGATATAAAAACTACGCCTGAAAAGTTCTAGAATTAAGAAAGTATCGACAATATAAATATGAACAAAACTGTCGGAATTTAGCTGTTACAGAATATTTTGATCAATACTTTCAATCATTCATTACTTAGCATGCTTAACGCTCACATCCTAATCCTAAAGGGGTAAATTCAATTGAGAAAAGCGTAAGTCGCAATTCTTTACTATTCTTGTCGGCTGAAGTAACTTTATGAATGAGTTACCATTAATTCAACAGGTGGGTATGAAGTGAAATATAGATATTGTCGACAGAACCAATTTTCCAATTCAACGCTCAACTTTATATAAGTTACGCTTTTAGTCTATTTTCTTTAGCAGTATCACATATTTTTCATTGAAGTATGATATAATATTATGAGATTATATTACAGGCGCGGCTAAGGATTTATTCGCGATTCTTTTATATTGTGTTTATGGATAAATGAACTTCCCAGTAGATGATCCTGAAGGAACCTCATACCATTCAGGTGTCTCACAACAACATTTCTCTGTCAATGAGGTGAACCGCTCCATGTTGTAATTTCCCAACTCAATTAATTTATCCAGCGATTTACTATAATTATTAATTTCAAGTTGAGCACACTCATATTTTTTTGTTAAATTAGATAATGAAGATTCTAACTCTTGAATTTTACTCTTTAATTTATTTTGTTCTAAATCCTTATCATGTAAATTTGTTTTACAATTTTGAAGTTCTTGTAACAGGTCTAATTTTTGTCTTCTAATATTTATAGATTTTAAACATTTAGTATGATTTCACACTAACTTTTCTGACTTTTTAATAAATTTGTTTATTTTTATATATTTTTTTAATTTATTGACACTATTAAATTGATAATACAACTGTTTAAATAAAATAAAGAGGTACGTAACTTATTATTACAGTTTGAGAGGTTATTCTCCGAAGTCACCAGTTATATATGCCATTATAGTTCAACAATAGAGTATAAAATCTTCTTTTGTAGAAATATAACGAGTTAAATTTTTCTACCTACCTCATTAGAAGCCAGGCGTAATGATTTATTGCAAATGTATGAATGAATGATTGGTGAACTAAACTTTGCCAGATAATATTGCAATGAATTTTCAATTTTTTTATTATATTATATAAAAGTAAAATATTGTTTTTATAAAAAGTAAGGATGCACCTAATTCATCTACGTTAAACATGACGGTCGTGTTCAATAAAAAACATTTTTAGATACATCGAATACAAGAATCTACTTGTATTTATAAAAAAAATATTAACATTTTAAAAATAGAATAGCGTAAGGTAACCCTGAGATGAACTGACCTCCCCACGTAAAAAAAAGGCTAAATTGAACCGTGCAACTACATATGTATCACATTTTCTCCATTTAACACAACAATTTTTATGGTCTCTACGCTCGTGTTAGTCATATTTACAGAAGGCTATACTTTCCTTGATAAATGATCCAAGAATAAAAGAATCTTCAAAATAGTTAGTTGTAGGTATTTTGAGGTTACACCGAAGTAAATTCAGAAACTTTACTTCATCGTAAATATAAAGTGAACTAAAACAGTGTCTTCAAGCTTGATATTCCCATAGGGTGTTTAATATTTTGCTGCCTAGTTGATAGCTAGTCATAAATAGATTATCTGTACCACTAGCGTTTAATAAACGACCGCAAACATCTTATGTTCAGTTTATAAATAGTTTATTATAGGTCAGTTTAATCAAAGTGATGGCACAATTACGAGTATATCATGATTGCATAATACAGATATTACAGGCTCACTTTGTAGAGATAATGAAAGTTCCTCTATTAATTATGCCAGATCAGGTCACCAATAATATGCATGTAATGTAAAGTAAGTTAAAACACCTTCGTTGTTAAAACAGTCACCACAAAATCCCCTACAAAGTAGCGAAGGGGAAAAGGTATCTTTATGATACCTTTTCCACATCTTTATGATACTTTCTCAACACCTAGTATACGAGTATATTTTACTAAGTTAGTCTTAAGTGAAATTTATATCTACACTCTAATTTATATAAATGCACACATATTTTAAACCTATTACCTCGGTAGTTTTAAAAGGCATGCACTTTTCTTATGCATTATTTTCCTAATTTCCAATAAAAGAACAAAACTAGGCACTTATTTACTTAAAATGCGTTTGTAGGTTATGCTGCCTAATACGTACTTACGCTCTTTCACGTGCGATTCAACTTTCATACAGGAAAGAATGAGTATATAAATGTAGATAAAGGAACCGAAAAAACCACGCGTTATATTGTTTGTATATTGTGTATCAAAAAAAAACTATGTTTTTATATTAGTTGTCTAGTACTGGTATAACGCAAGCTCTATTTGGGACTAGACGGCGCTGTGTGAATTGTCCTGAAACATTATTATTTTTATAATACAGATAAATTATATATAACTAAACTTTTTGGGCAAACATGTTTTCAGTTTGAACAAGCTGTTGGTTATAACATACACAGAGAACTTAACAATGGATGGGCACCGACGTGTATATTAACATTAAACAACATCGAAACAAGGTCTTTGGGCACAAGGCCTGACCCCTCACAGGGTAATTGGGATTGTTTCATACCCTTGAAACAGGATGCCGACATCCACAGACAATTAAGTTGATAGCGTCTTTAATTTTATATCCATTTCAGTTACTGTTTCGTCAACGAATTCTGAGCTATGTAGAATAGTCTAATTAAAAAAGAATTGATTATGTATGATTATGAAAGACTTAATTTTTTGTTTACAGTGGTTTAATTAAAAGAATAACTTAGTTGAATTTGTAAATTCTTTCAGTGCAACATTATTAGCGAATAAGAACAGTGACATTTGGCACAAGCTGCGCTAGAGAAGCTTACTTAGCTAGTCTGCAATACATTAAAATAAGTTTAAAATAATACAAAAAAATAATCTTCAAGATTCAGGAGTTTTTGTGTGGAAGACAGTATTAATTAATTTCTATTTCAATTTGTTATTAGCTTATAGATACAGAAAATATCGTAAACTAATTGTTTACAATGTATAAACGGGATATTAATATATGTGAAGCAAAAACTTTGTACCCCTTTTTACGAATGGATAGCCCTTATGTGTGGACGGAGGATTATGAAATTTCACACCCTTATATATTATATATAGTAAGAGTGTAATTTACAATTATTTTTAATTCTGCATATAAAATATATTACACATACTACCATGTTTTAGTAGATATAAACTCATATATACTCTTTTGTTTATTGCCTGTGCGACTGTCAGTATCTATGATTATAGACTATGATTATCTATGATTATAGGCGACCACCAGACTAGGTATTATTAATAACCTCGCGATATCACGATTATAAACAATAAAAAATTTAAAACACCATAAACTAAAAAATATAATAAAAATATTGCGAAATAAACAAAGACTCTGTCTTGGCTTCTTTTACTTACATCCCTAGCTTTATTCTCTTTCAGAACTCATCCCATTCATGATGCGAAACCACAGTTTTCGCAAACCCTTGACATTTCATTTGTCTGAACATGATAGGTCAAACTTGGCCCCCACTTCATCCTTCGC